TCCTCCAACACGCTAGTCATATAGATTGATGATGAAACATCGCTCTAGATATTTAGCTGCGTGGAGTACTTCCACGCTACTAGATCCAGGCTAGACAAACCTTCCACGCGTTCCGTTTTAGGATCGTGGAACGTAGGATTATACCACAACCTACTCTATCACATTTACAGTCTCCCGCGGGAAACCAGATCTACGATCCTTGATGATGATCTCTCTCGTTGATTAGTTTTCATAGCTTTCTAATCTCTCTCATAACTTTCATTCTCTCAAACTCAAAACACTCGAAAGATCTTTACACTAGCTTTTAGCGTAGTGCACAATCTCGAGATGGTTGATCTTGCTCGAACTCGAGATGAGACTTTTGCTTTTCAGTGTTGTTTGCTAGTAATACTGCAGCTTATTGGGGAGTAATTTGGTTTTAGATTAAGCTGAAAAGCAAAGTGAGGATTTTCTGGTGGTGCATAGCATTCTTGTGATTGAATTGGATATAAGGACCCCCGTAGCACTTTAGACCTAAAACTCCCTTGGTTCCTTGCATGATGAATTTACATGCGAACCGGACTAGATGATTAATACACGAGTCAATAGTAAAGAGGTGTCAGGTATGTTTCCTCCAACAGCAGGGTTGTATGGATATGAGGATGATCAGGATCCTGTTTCGGTCAAGTCTCGCACTGGTTTTGTCTTGACTATGTTTGGATGCCCTGTCATTTGGTCCAGCAAACTGCAGACTGACATTACTCTGAGCTCCACTGCTGCTGAATATGTTGCCTTCAGCATGTCCATGAGGGAGCTGCTTCCTATGCGAGCCCTGCTCAAGGAAATTGGTAACAAACTGCATATGCCCGTAATTACTGACAGTCTCGTGCGCTCTACAGTATTCGAAGACAACCAAGGTTGCCTGTCTCTTGTGAATGTTCCCAAGATGTCAGCCCGCAACAAGTATTTGGCATTGAAGTACCACTTCTTTAGGTCGAATATCGGGGAGTCGAAGGGCATCGTGGCCAAGTACATTCCGACTCTAGAACAACGGGCCGACATCTTCACTGAGGGTCTGCCAGCTCCACAGTTTGCAGTCATTCGGAAGCTCCTCATGGGATGGTAATCTACCTCAGCACGTTGCTGGGGACTCTCTCCTATTGTTTCTTGCTACAGCTTCATTTCAGCTGTAAGGGAGTGCGACGGTATACAGCTTACAATTCAGCTTTACAGCTTTATAAATTGCGGGCCTATTCTAGAAAATAATCAATAACTGCTCACTTATTTGGAAATACAAACTTTACATCTCTTAGATCGTTAGATTAATCAATCCACAATGGTATTGTCGCAGAGTTAAGATCAGGATGCTCTTTGAGGATGTGTCAGCCCATGCATGCCTTGCCATTCCTTTCGCAAATCCAAAACTGTTTATCCTTTGGATCTGGGTACCTCCACTGACAGGCTCTGCACACTGTGGTAGAGGACTTGCCACACTCTAAGCACTTGCCTTGAAAGGTGTGCCTTGCATTCACTTGCCAAACCACAAGCATCAACCACACACATGCCAAAGATAGAAAGGTTGACTCTCCTGTCCCAGACTTTGGTTTGAACCTTCCTTTCTAGTGCCACATCCTGCTGTCTTGTTCTGTTGTGTTGATCAATCTTTCCACAAGCAGAGTAGTAGGTAGCAGAGGCAGTTGGCTGAGGGATATTGACTTGAATGCGCACTGGAGCTGCTTCAGGAGTTGGATCAACTTGTCGCCATCTCCAACGCAAGCAAGGAGGACCTGCCGCCATAGATCCACATGTAGTCTCTATCTACCCACACATATGCAAGTAGATCCGTTCCTGTTGTACCCTTTGTCATCCTCTGTTTGGGCATGTTCCTCCCGTACGTCTTGGTCTGCATCGGTAGCTTTGACAAGCTTCAGTCGCAACATAATTCCAGTAATACCATCTGCAGCATTCTGGATCTCACAACCATCCTCTGGCTTTCTGTCCAATGCAATGTAGTGTGGCAGCCCAATATTTATCCAGCTTCCACCAAGACCGTACCACCTGCTCATGGACTCATCCAGACAGATCCTGGTTGATGGATCGTAGTACTGCTGTCGGTGTTCATTCAGTCGGTCAACAAAGTCCTGAACAAGCGTCCACCTGTATGATTGCTGTGACGTGCCCGCAGGTTTCTTTGTTGGTTGGTCACTCCAAACGAGATAACGTAGAATTTCATCATATCTGTTCTTGCTCATGCCAGTCTTCACAAAGTTAGGAGCGGGGATGTACTTCCTTGTAGTGGTAGGTGCCCAAAGGGAATGTTGACTTCCAAATTCAAAACGGGTAATGAGAAGTGTCACACTGAACCATTTGAGCAGCTCTCCAATCGAAATATCTTGCAACTTGGCCTCACGTAGTTTCTTGTTGGTTGCCTCCACCATAAATCTCAGTTGCTCTTTGGGGAAGCAGGCCATGAAGAAGTCGTAAAGCTGATACTTTAGCTCTTTATTGCTGTTGTCGGTGGTGAAGGAAGTATCATCGCATCCTGGCGTAAATTCTTTTCCACTGTACTGACAGGTCATCTTCCACATGCGCAAAGAGGAAGGGCCGTTAACATCCACATCAGTGGGCTTGTCATCGTACCAATCAAATCCATGGTTGGATGACACTGGAGTGCGTCCTCTTGGGGAGGGCTGTTGTTCCGGATTTTCATTAGAAGAACCTCGTTCAACGCTGGTACCTTCAGACGTTTCTGTATCAGACATTGCTGTATTAGCCGTTCCAGCGGCAGCTGCTGTTCTTTGCTCTTCTTCATTGTTTGTTCCTGGTGGTGGGGGCGGTGGTGGATCGGAATTGCCTTCCACGCTGGTGTTGGTGTTGGTGTTGGTGTTGGTGTTGGTGTTGGTGTTGGTGTTGGTGTTGATGTTGGTGTTGGTGTTGATGTTCCGATTTGGAACAACTCTTGGATCCGATGGCTTCAAACTCTGCAGACAGATGGTTGCTTCCTTCTCCACATCACCAACAACCTTGTACAAGGCTCGAACGTAGTTGGTTGACCTCTTCGCCTGTGGATCCTTCTTCCTTGCAACAACTTCGATCACAATACCTTTCAACCAGGTCTCGCCAGCGGCAGCTCCGAAGCTTTGATGGGCTTGTCGGCAAACATGCTTGGCCTGAGCCCAGCAAACCCCACCCACTTGCTTCCTGGTATCTTCGGTGGTGTTGGGCATCCTTCCTTGTGCTTTATGCTGTCTGGAAGCGGCCGTAACCATGCCAAAAGGAGTGTCATCGTCATTGGATCGATCCGATAAAAGAATGGGAAAAAGTCGATCGCGATCCGAAAGCGCAGTTTGCCAGCTTTGATTCACTCGTAAGTTTCCACTCTTTGGCAGTCAAAAATGGATCAGCAACTAAGTAAAGTATGGACTACAAAGCGGGCACGATAGCTAGGATGTACAAGTCTGGATAGATGCTTAGCGGTGGCAGTCTATGTGGGTCGTTACATAACGTCAGGGGCGTTATGTAACGCCGATGGGAAGATAGACACTAGCTAGCAGCAGTTACGGACCTGTTACGGTGCTGTACCATTCGGGGCCAAAGCATATTTGAGGGAAGTAGCTTGCTCTCCTTGCGATTCGTAGACTTAGCCAGCCCCTTGTGCTCTACCTAGCTAGCTAGTAGTAATAAAGGCAAGCAGCCACCATCCAATGACGCGGCACCAGCCCCTTCGATCTTTTGTCCAGCACACATTGCTTGCTTGTGGGAGAGCGAGGTACAGTTCGGTACCCGACGGATTGTTGAAGGAAAACTGGCTGCACGACCTCATTCTATTCATTCGTTCTGCTGGAACTAGCTAGTAGGACCCTGAACAAAAACTGCTGGCTGCAGTGGCCGGCATAGTCATTAATTTTTTGTCCCGGACGGAGCATGAACTAGACGGCAGCCAGTTGGTTGGCTATTACTATTGATTTACTTTATTGGAGGTGAGCTAGCTAGCTAGATGTAGCTAGCTTGTAGAGATGCACCTAGCTAGCTAGTAGAGATAGATGCACCTGTAAGGAAGCAAGTTCAACAGCCAGCCACAGTTTGCTTGGCTGCAGCCTCATCTCCAAAAAAGTCTAAAGGAAAGAAATGAACAGGGCTTGCTTCAACCAGCCTAAGACTCCCGTTGTAGCTGGTATGACTCCGTTGAAGAGAAATAGGTGTTGGCGTAGCCCTTGTCCAGTGAAACATGAATCGAATCTTCGTCTCGAACCTCACAACCTCTCTGCTGAGGGGAGCAGATCGAAACCGGTTTTGATACCGGTAGCTGCTACAGTAATAGCTAGCAGTTATAGCTAGCATAACTGCTAGCTATTACTGTAGCAGCTACGGCAGCATCCTTTCCTCAAGTTGGACGATGACCCTTCAACCTACCGTACCACCTCCTGACCTATAAAACCTTAGAAGAGCCTTAGAAGGCATCTCCCAAGCCATCTCAACAGTGAGAGCCAGACTTTTAGTTGTCTGGAACCCATTGAGAGTTTTGGAATGCGTTCAAGCGTCGTCCACGTCTTTCCTGGAAGAGCGGATCTTGTGGAGTTCAAACCAGCCGCGTACCACTTCGTTTCTACTAGAGCATTCAGTACAATTATTGGTACTACTCCAAGCGTTCCGTAAAGATGCTTGTAGGTCGCACAAGATTGAATGTGTTGGTTGTTTAAGGGCATCACCGAGCCTCCTTTACATCAATGTGAGTTGTTAAATCATACTTCCCAACCAGCATGACCTTTGATGAAAACAAGTGTCATTTATTGGCTTTTAAATCCGTGGAAGGGCCCAAAACTATTGGTGGTACTTTGTCACTGGTAGTTAGAGGCATGGAGCACGATGGAGCACAACCTTGAATCTACGATCAGGATACTTAGAACGAATGGTTGGATATCTTGGGGCTAGGTTCATTGTCTAGTAAAAGATTTACGCTAGGTGAATGCACTATGGATTGTCTGTAGTCAAGCTAGTAAGCCCCAACAGTTGCCGATTTTACTCGCCCAATGACTGGGTTGGTTCGAACGAAGAGGTACCATTGGATTTTTTTCTGGTACCAAAGCAAGAACTCGGGAGACCAGCGTTGATTTTGGTCTCCCTCTCACCCTCCCACAAAATAGAATCTCCAAGTTCCAAACGGATATACTACTAGCTAGTACCACACTCATCAGCCCAGCTCAGCCAGCCAGCCGTCCATCCAGCTACCCCAGCAAGATAGAAGATGAATCACTCCAATAACTCGAGCTACAATAGCAATGCCATGTGCGACAGCAGCATGATGCACGATTCTTCGTTTACCGATGCGGAAGTGTTCATGATGTCGGATTGTTTTGGAGGACGAACGTCAACAACAACAAGCCAACTACTAGGTGGATACAAGCAAGGACACATTCGACGACGAATTCCCATGGCCATCCCATCATCTACCGGTACTTTGCCACAAAGAAGTTCTTCGTTGAACGATTCCTACAGTCTCTTGAACACTTCCTTCAGTCTGTCATCGTCGTCTTCTCGATTGGATGGTTCCACCAGACTCCACAGCAACAGCATGTCACCCTACAGCAGCAGTATGGATCATTCCTCCCATTGGAACAGCAGCAGCATCAACACGAGCAATAATAGTTCTCCTGTCAGAAATTCCAGTCCTGGACTTCATCCGTACCAAGTCCAAGCCAATGTGGCGGTCAGTTCTCCCAGCCACTACGAAGGACGCATCCAATCCTCCTTCCAATTGACAAACAACTTTGGGGGAGCCAGGGCAGCCTAAAGATCCTTTTTCAGTACCGTACTTTCCCCAAAGTGAGGCATCAATCCACAAAACTCCCAAGGAAAACTAACTCATACACTTTATGGGGGGATACAACCTACATCCTTACATGCATACATACATACATATGACAAGATAGATGCACATTTTCTTATTTGCAGTTTCTAGTTCTACTTTTTCCAACTGAAACAACAAGTATTGTAACTCTAGCTAGACTATTATTATAACCACATTCCAGCCACAACTCTACGTGAATACTACTGTATCCCCCATAAGAATTGCTCGTGCGAGTGCGTTAGGAGTTCAGTCAAATGCCAAATTCGGAACATCCCTAAGTGTCGTGGTGAACCAGCTGATGTACCGTAGCAAGGTGGGTGGGTACCTGGAAGAGCAGCAGCACAGGCAGAACATCCTCTTGTGGTCTTGAAGGTTGAAAGAGGTACGGAACATCAAATGTACTCTCTTGTGGGTGCCTGCTGGGAAAGGGGCTACGGGTTCAGCACCAAACCTTCGGCTGTATATAGCACCGGAATTCAATGATATCAAAACATCACTCACTCTGCAAGGGCAAATCTCTTTGACTTGGTTGGCTTGGCCCATTGGCTACTCAGGTTGTCAGCGCTTTTTGCTTGCGCTATCCCATATCCAAATTGCTAAAACACAGGCTGGCTAGCTAGGCTCCGTGGTAGCTACTTTCTGGTTGTTTGGCTTGGCTCTTTCACCACCAACAACCCCATGGCTAGCTAGCTAGCTACTATGGTACTTGTGAAATTTGGGATTGTGTTGACAGGCTCCGTAGATTTCAGGACTTGATCGGCTTCTCTGGGGCTCTTCAGGGTCATTTATTTTAGTACGACCGTAGTATTTCGAGTAGCTTCTTGTTGCGTACAGTACAGTACGGTAGGCTGCAGTGTCAGCCATGCCCCGAAGGTCTTGACTGTGTTGGTCAGGTAGCCTTGCCATAGGAGGTCGCGGGTGTTGAGTTAGTGGTACAGTACCAACCGTCCTGATGGGCTGGCAGATGACCAACACCGACACTGCGGCCCCTGAAAGAAGGCACCGGTAGTCATTTTGTCTGAACGGTATATGATTGAACAAAAAAGCCCCAGCTAGCTCAAAGATACCAATGATCAAAACAAAGGCCAGCTCATTCAACCAGAGGTTGCTTTTTATTAAAATAAAAGGAGCAGCAATTTGTATTCCTTTCGCATCATCGGCTCCCTCTTTGGATAACATGGTACGTTCCGACTGTCTCCCTCTATCGAAGAAAAAGGCCCAGAATCTAAAACATCCTGTGAAAAAGAGTGCATGAGGATCTTGGCTGTTTTATCAAACTTCTTTCTTTTAGGTGACAACAAGTCCTTTGGCTGCGCTGCATGCCAGGAATCAAGAAAATGGGTTTGTGCTGTTTGCCTCTTGCATAGTCTCTTCTTGTGATTTGTTGTGTTTCTTTTGGTTTCTGGTAGCCACTTTTTTGGGTTGCTGTTGCGGTTTGTTCCACAAGTCGGGTCGGGTACTCTGTAACATGGTTCCAACGCCGGTCAATGACAGCTGATCGGTTGTGGTCCGTCGAGTCATCATGTGTTTCTTTTTCTTTCTGGTACTGGCTGTGTTGTTTTGTTTGTGTTCCAATACTTGAATGGCTCTGAGTACCATTCGTTCCAATTCGCAAAATGCTGTTTTCATACTGGACTCGTTGGGAAAGGAGCGATGGACGGCTTGTGTTCGAATGGTGCGACTCCAGAGAGCATCAATCAAATCCAGCACGGCCTCGATGGGAGTGGCCAGACGTCGATCTCCTCGAAAGCAGCGAAACAGTACCAAATGGGTCAAACTCGACAAGAAAAACGGAGATTTTTGCAGTTGGGTCAAGTGACCTTCTTGATACAGAATCTGCAATACAGCTGGGATGGTCATACCAGCAGTACTAGTACTAGCACTTGCAGTACTAGCACCACTACTACTTTTTCGACTAATCGTCGTCTTCTTCAAGGCGCTCGTCAAATGAGACACGGCCGTGCCGGTATCTACTCCCACTCGAGCCAATCGCTCGGCAGGATACTCCAAAGTCTTCCACGCCGTCAAGCTATGTGGTGCGTGGAAACATCTCGAATGCCCACAATCGCACGTTCGTTCCCCACATTCCTTGTAGCCAAGACAGGCACAGTTGCCCTGATAGCAGGCACCAAACGAAAGACTCTCCGACGACATGTCGAGTTGTACCTGGTACTCTCTAATGAGAGATCAGAGAGAAGGATGAAGGGTTTGGAATGATCTCGTTGTCTGTGATCTCCGCTTTCATGCTTCTGCTTGTGGGATTTAAGACAGCAGAACGGCTGAGCCACTTATTGCATTCAGCGAACAGATCAAAGATAATTTTTGACCCTCGTCTTTGGTTTGGCCATCTTCCTATCTTGCTTGGCTATTCAGTGGAAATCTGAAGCTAGCTAGATATAGCCAACTACTACTAACTAAGATGACTTGGATTGTTAATTAGTTTCATGATATACCCCAATAACTAACTTGCTTCGCTAATTGAGTAATTGGCTGGCTAGCTAGATTCATCATTCTACAGACCCCGTTCCAAAATGGCCTTGGCAGCCACACTACTCTCCATGGGATACGTCGACAAAAAGTAGTACAGACAATCCACACGATCCCGTACCGACAAGAGTGCCTGGATCCATTGCTCGGGAGTTGCCTTGGAGGGATCACCTCCTCCCAGATGGTTCGCTTTGGTTTGTTGAATGCGAGGGAGAAAATTGGGCCAGTACTGCATCCGTGCCATGGCGGAAGGATCATGGATCGGATAATGCTTCTCGGGGTGATCCTCCTCGTCGTGCAACACGGCCACCTTTTGCAGTCCCGTCATGCCCCGCAACGCACCAATGACCGGTTCCCAGGCGAACTGGTTGGGATTGCAAATCCCAAAAAACTCTACCGTTTGCAGCGACGTGTGGTTGTTTTGGATAAAGTGACCCAGACCGGTCAAACACGAACTTGACAAGCGAGTAATGGATTGTCCAATGAGTTTCAACTCCTGCAAGTGAGGAACTGTAATGGCGGCTAGTTTGTCCAGAGAACAGTGAAATTCTTGTGGTTGCCAACGGGTAAAGGAAATCTCCAGACTGGACAACTGGGTAGTGGGTGTTGGATCCTTATTATGTGCCAGTAATGCTACCAAGAGATCCATGGAATCGCCTTGTTCGTCCCGTTCGTCAATATGACACAAAAAGTACACGAGACGGGTCAAATTGGGAAAGACGCGATGCAACAAGCGGACAAACGGACTACCATCCAACTGCAACTCGGGAGATGGTGCCCAAGATACGTGAATCACAAGATCGGTAATCGGATCACTCTCGTCATAGTCCAGCTCTTCCTCCTCGTCGTCGTCGTTTTCGTCCAAGCAAACTCCATGCGACTCCCACAGTTGTGCCTTGAGCTCAATCAAGCTAGCACCCAATTCCGACAAGTTCATACCACCCTCTTCCACACGGTAGAGGTGAATCTCATCGAATAGAATCTCACACGTAAAGCGGAGATGATCAGGTGCTAGCAGGTCCATCATGGTGGTGTTAGTTTGGTTTCGCACTGTAATAATGACAGGGTACAAAAATAACAACTACTAATCATTGTGACAAACAAACAAAATAATGACAGGGTTGTTTTGTGCGGTTGTGTCACTTTCACAATGGCATCGTTGTCCTGCACCCACCACCTGCATTTCTTTCGCGCAAGACGAAAAAGAAATCTTGACACGTCGACAACCAAAAGCTTTGAATAACTCTGACGCTATCAAAGATCATCTCTTGTGAAGGTCGTCTTCGTCTTTGCTTGCTCCTTGCGAGCAAGGTCAACGTTGGGTAATTACAGATTTAAAAACCTGTCAGTCTGCCGGGCAGTCAAACAGTATTTGGAGAAACTCCTCAATTTGGGTATGTAGATGCATCGCCGCTCACAATTTATCCCGTTTTCCCGTCTTCGTTTGTTGGCTCCGAAATTACTGGTAGCACATTGCCAACTTTTGCCTTGATCATGGCAGAAGACGAGGGCGCGAGGAGTAGAAATCTTGTAGACAATCCTCTAGCTAAAGAGCTTAGTGATCCTGGAATGGTATTAAAACTTCGTAGAAATCCTTATGGATTGTGCCAAAGTAGTCGCAACTACTTTTCGATAGTCAAGGAGAATTTGGAGTCCATTGGGCTGGAATCTAAGGAATGGATGGATCCGTGTCTTTTCGTATCTGAGAATGTTACTTGTTTGATGCATTGTGATGACTCTCAGATGTTTGCTGAGAATGCTACGGCCATGGATGAATCCTTGGCAAGGATGGCAAGGATCATGAAAACAACAGCAGCAGACAAGCCAGCAAAGAATTCGAGAATCTCTTCGTCAAGGCAGATGAATAAAACCAGGATTTCATGTGGCTATCCAACTCAGCTAGACAAGGAGAAACTCAAAGCAATGTTTCAGAAGATAGCTGAGAGTGGCAAGGTGATAGTACATGTACGTGCAGAGGCTTCTGTGTAGTTCTTACTCCTCCTCCTTTAGAAGGTGCAATTAACTAACATTTTTGCTTTGTCCTCTGTCCTTAGCTGGAAACATGGAGTGTCTTTGCAATCTACCACTACCGCCCAACTGATATCCACACCAGATATGGAAGGACCGTCAAAGGTCTGTATGGAGTTGTGTTTGAGCAAGAGCTTCTAGATCAGATGTCGCAGATGAACAAGTTTGCCCCGGAGTTCCAGCATTTGGTTCAAACTGTTGAGGGCAACCTTGAGGGCTTCCCCAAGAAACAAGCCAAGGGACCAATCGAGATGGTCACCAACGTTGGAAGCACCAAGCTTACCCAAGAAGGTGACACCCCTTACGGAAACGGCTATGCCAAGCCAGGAGGCATCGCCAACATCAACGCTTTGTCTCTTGTTGTGGATGACTGCGTCAGGGCACAGGATGGATCCTATGTCCTCATGGACTCAAGAGTCGACGATGCCATCTACCACTACCACCCAACTGGGATTCACACCAGGTATGGAAGGACCGCCAAAGGTCTGTATGGAGTGCTGATTGAGCAAGACCTACTGGATCACATGGCCCAACTCAACCAGTTTGCACCGGAGTTCCAACATTTGGTTCAGACGGTGGAGGGCAACCTCGAAGGCTTTATCAAGAAGCAAGCCAAGGGTGCATTTCTCGCAAGAAATCTGTACCTCAACCTTCAGCGTCCGCCTTTGGAAGGCTACCGGAACATGATCCGGACTGGGCAAATTCGAGACTGTCCCGTCAAGTTGGAAGACATTGATCGTGCCGAAAAATTTTCGGCAGCGACATGGGCAAAGCCAAGGGCTCTACTACACGCAGACGCCCACCACCAGTGACCGACAGTATTCATACTGTTCCGGATGAGCTGGTGGCACCACACAGGTTCCTGACCGGATGTATGGATGTGTTTTATGTCTGTGAAATTGCTTTTCTTGCATTCACTGACTTGCAGATCCGTCACAGAGAATCAGCCTACCTGACCAATCGGAAAGGCAAATCCTTCTATGCCGCCACTGACAAGATCTTTGACCGGTATGGCAACAATGATTTCAAGATCAAAGAAGTACAGTGTGACTTGGAATTCAAGAGTTGGATGGACCCCGTCAAGAACGACATGGAGCTCAAGCTCAACCATGGAGCGGCTCAAACTCACAGTGGTCCTGCGGAGCGAAACATCCGAACATTGAAGGAACGCATCCGCGCAGCCTGGCATGCCACCCCATTTATGGTGATGCCCAAGGTGATGATTATTGAATTGGTCTATGATGTCAATGTCAAACTAAACCTTTTTCCAGCGCTTGATGGTATTTCAAAGGTATCCTCCCAGACAGATCTTGGAGGGTCGCACCACAAGCTACAAGGATATCCAGTACACTTTTGGGAGCTACTGTCTGGCTACAAACGAACCTGACAAGCTCAACTCTATGGCAAGCCCATGAGGGTCTGAGGATGCTAGAAGCCCTACGGTGTCTCTCGAGGGTCTGATGCTTACGATGTGTGTTGATGCCTCGGAGAACAGGGAACCTGACGAAGACAGAGTGTTGGTGATTATTGAAGGCCCCTTGCGGATCTCTTGGTTGAACTCCATTCCTGACCTACGTTCGAGAATAATTTTATTGTAGGCGATCGCCAACATTTGCAGATGATAGCACGACCACTCCGCTTTGGGCAGTATCATTGTACATAGTCTTGGGTGAACCTTTTTTAAATAGCGAGCTATTAACCAAAGCATTGGAGCCAAACACTAGCATGAATGGTAGTATCCTTCATTCGTTGAAGGAGTTTGATTGTCCTGATACTATGCTACAAGATGTTAGTTCACCGTATCAATAGATGATGGATTGGACAACAGTTGTTGCTCCTCAGAGACACACAACAAAGATAGCTGCTCGTTCCGTCAAACATTGACACTACTCGTTTGCCTCTTTTTCCCAAGAAATGTGTGTTCCGCTTATAGCTGCATGCCTACTAGTTACCGGGGACAGCATAGCAGTAGTCAATACCTGTGGAAGGTTGGAAGGGAATGTGAGCGAAAAGCAATCCATGTCATGATCTACACGGTTTCGGTAATAATAACTTACGAGGAACCCCTTCCCCTTGACACCCCGGTGGAGCTTCTATAGGATTGGGCCAACTCCTCTCGAAACATTTGAGACTGCCCACACAGTCATCATCACTTTGACAATGCCCTTGACAGACCCCGCATTGCGTGTAGATGCTACACCGTGGATTCCGTCGCGGTTCGAGCAATGTATACAGATTGGGATTCCCCGTCAATTCCAATGGCGATTCGTCGAATCCCATGAGGAATGTGTTGATGTTTTTGTTTTGATTGTGCGCAAAGTTCTTGCCGTTGGTGTCATCATCATTGTTATTGTCATCGAGTACAATCCCCCATCGACTGGTGTGGTAATGGCGCGCCAATTCGCAACTGGTATTGATGATTTCCTCGTAATTGCGGGGATGATGATGCATGTTGACACACCGCGCGTCAATACGATCAATGGCGTACTTTTGTCGTGGCCGTAATTCAAAAGAATGATGCAAATGTTCCTTGTGGGGAACTCCGTAAAAGAGTTGCGAGACGGACTGATCGCACGTTCGCAAGTTGTACCGATTTAGGTGGACGCGATCGAGACACAAGTTTTTGGAGAGATCGGCCACTTTGAAGACACCGAGATGGGTACTGGCCGGCGACAGTGTCGGAGGATCGGTAGGAAACTCAAAGGCGAAATTGTCAACGTCTTCTTGTAGTTGTTGTGTGGTTGGAGTTTCGGTAGGATTGTTACTGGTGGGTGCTGTGGACCAGTCAAAGCCATGTGCGGTGGGTCCTCCCGTGGGAATATCCGTGAGTTCAATCGTTTCCGTGACACTGGATGTGGGCATTTCGGTGGGACTCTCCGAGGGTGCGTGCGACAGTATTGTGGAGGAGAGTGATTTGGAAGGACTGTCCGTCGGTGCCATTGTGAGTGGCACTTCGGAAGGTGGAAGCGAGGCAGTTTCGGTTGGACTCCAAGAAGGGGCATTGGATGGAGTTGTGGTAGGACTGCTGGACGGATATTGCGAAGGACCCGTGGTCGGTTGATTGGTTGGAATCACGGAGGGACTACTTGTTGGTTGCTTCGAGGGTTGGATGGACGGTGGGAGTGATGCCGCAACAGAGGGACTACTCGTCGGTTGATTGGATGGCTGGATAGACGGTGAAAGTGCAGGCGTAATGGAGGGCCGCAGGGAAGGCTGATTGGACGGCGTTACCGTTGGACTTGTGGACGGATATTGCGACGGATTGTCTGTAATGATCTCTACGTCTTTTCCTTCCAATACGGGATGATGCTGATTGAAGTCATGATGCGGATTGGTCTCATCTAGGTCCTCCACTACAACTTGAAAGGCAGTCATGTTGGCAACGGATAGACCCATATCAGTAGTAGTATTGGTATTGGTGGTTGTATCATCCAAATCGGCTGTGGGCGATGAGGTGGCATTGGTAGGACTGGAAGTCGGAGTCATGGTTGGAAGTGAAATGGTTTCTGGCTGTTGTTGATCGGAGTCGATATTCTGTTGATTGACTCTGCTGCTGACCGCTCCTCCCAGCACGTGAATATTAATGTGCTGTAGTAGATTTTGCTGTAAGAGTCGTTTCTTTTTCTTGTCATCATCAAAAGGCGCTCCTTCCGGTTCTTCATCTTGTTCGGGAGTAAAGTCGGCTTCGTCTTGTGCAGGTATCCACACAAACAATTGCTGATCAATGTTGCGACAGAGTTCAATCCATAGAATGTCGCCTTCGTTGCATTCGTATCCTTCGCATTGCATACACCAATCCAGTTCGTATTCACAATCGCCTTGCCAACAGGATTCTTCGTGCCATTCCATGCGAATTCGAAACGGACCAATGGCGTCGTCCGGCAACAGTTCCTTGATGCGCGCACGGTCGAGTTGTCCCGGTACAGTGGCGTTGGTGTGTGGAGGAATGTATCCCGGATGTGTCTCGTGGAATTGCGATGCGGAGTGAGTGTAGTTGACCTCCATCAGCTCAGAGTCATCTTGGAGTATGATTTCATTTTGCAAGTCTCGTTGTTGTCCTTTACTACTACTACTAGAACTTGTCTCTTCTCGACTACTAGTACTTGTCGCTGTACTTGTGGTCTCTTGTTGTGCCGCTGGTGATGATGCTGCTGTGCCGTAAATGACGTCAAATCGGCTGGGAGGTCTATTACCAGTACCAGCATTGGTCCCTCGCAGACCAGTGCTGCTGCTGCTACTTCTGCTACTTCTGCTTTGACTCAGGAGAGTCTCTGTTCTTCTTCTTCTGTGATTGGAGGAGGACAACTGAGATTCTGGACTACTATTGTCTAGTACTTGCACCACGTTCACTGGGTCTACTAGCTTCCCTTTTTGATGTTCCAACTCGGTAATGTAAGTCATCACCTTCATGGCCTCCGATTTATCCGATGATGATGATGATGATTGCTCTGGTGTGGCTTGAACTGGAACCACATGAAGCAGTACGAGACACAGCGAGCAGCACAACACTAGTGAAAGTCGAATCATTGTCATTACTACTCCTTGATGGATGGATGGATGGATGGATGGATGAGTACAGTCAGTAGACGAGTAGACTACTCTGGCCTACTGCTGTAATATAAAGTCTCCAACGAGGACAACAACAACAGCAATGGCAGTGCCAACAGCAAGAATGGATTCAAAATGACGACGAGCCCAATTATTTGTGCGCTAAAATCTAACACATTCCGTTGACCTCTAATTGTCATTTGAATTTGGCTTCCTCGGCACCTCTTCTCTAAGTACGATGTCACCACCGACACATGTAGGCCGTCCTGCTCGATATGTAACCGCCAGAGGAATCTGGAATCACAAAATGTGATGGTTCGATCATTCTGTATATTTGGGGTTTAGTTAAGGTTATTCAATATCTTGAGTTGATTGCAAGTTGAAGTTCCGTCTCCTTCATACGTACCCCCAACAAGACAACGGCAACAAGCAACCGCAAGCAGTGAGGAAGCTTATGAGTGAGGCAAAGTAAGTGTGTGATGTCACCCCATCAGTTCCACGCGGATGGATAAGGCTGTTGAACACTAGCTAGACTCTCGTCGAGTCAACGAAGGAAGGCATCACTACAGAAGAAAAGGCAACAGCTATCAAACAAAAGGGCAACACTCGACTTGCATCCAATAGGTATAAATTCGGTTCTCTTCTTCACTTCACACCAAGCAATTCAATTAAAATTGATCAATCATGACCTCCTTTACGCGAGCTGCCGTCTTGGCGTTGATTGCCACCAGTGCTAGTGCCTTTGTGGTGCCAACCACTACTACTAGTGCTACCACCACCACCAGTCTGTTTAGTGTGGCGACGGAATTTGACTTGAATTCGTACATTATGGAAAAGAACGTTCCCATTACCAAGGCACTCCAAGACTCGGTACAAAGCGTCGAACCACAAACGGCAAAGATTTGCGAATCCATGCTCTACAGTCTCATGGCAGGAGGCAAACGAGTACGGCCTGTATTGGCCATTGCGGCGGCAGAAATGTTTGATCCCGTCAATGGACAAGACAAGGCCATGCCGTCGGCTGTTTCGGTGGAAATGATTCATACCATGAGTCTCATTCATGATGATCTGCCCAGTATGGATAATGATGACCTGCGAAGAGGTAAACCCACCAATCACGTAAGTATACACTTATTAATACTGACAAAAGAAGAATGATTCAATCTCACATCTGCTGCTCGTTTCGTTTTCTTTCTCATTTTCGACCTACCATACCTATGAATACCCGCCACACTTACGATCCACCAAACTACGCTACAATACGCAACTTCTCTCGCACTTTCTCCATACATTCAACGACTCGTTGTTTCTTTCTTTAGGTCGTCTACGGCGAAGACGTGGCCATTTTGGCAGGAGATGCCCTCTTGAGTGAATCCTTCAAGCACGTCGCACAAGAAACCAAGGGTGTCGAAGCCAGTCGCGTTCTCGATGTCGTTGTGCGACTGGGAGCTTCCGTGGGCCCCAAGGGCCTTGCCGGTGGACAAGTCATGGATCTCGAATGCGAAGGACGTGGGGAAGGACAAGTCTCCCTCGATGATCTCAAATGGATTCATACGCACAAGACTGCTGCACTCTTGGTGGTTTCCGTTGCGGCCGGAGCCATCATGGGAGGTGCCACACCAGAAGAAGTCGAAGCGTGTGAGAAATTTGCCCTCAATATCGGACTCGCCTTTCAAGTGGCCGATGATATCCTCGATGTCACTCAATCGACCGAAGAATTGGGAAAAACCGCCGGAAAGGATTTGGAAGCCGATAAGACGACGTATCCCAAATTGTTGGGGATGGATGGTGCCCGTGCCGAAGCCGAACGATTGGTCGCCGAAGCCAAGGATGCATTGGCACCCTTTGGGGATCGAGCCACACCACTCTTGGCGCTCGCCGATTACATTATCAATCGTAAAAATTAATTAATCATCTAAATAAATGTACTGGCTTTGAACATCAAGCCAAGTAAACAATATTGATAGTGAGCACATAGTACATATCTGGCTAGCTAGCTAGAACGACGGACCTATCTACTGGCTAGACTACGGCACCATAGCTGTGTGGAGTTTGCATGCTGATGGATCGCAAACGTGCAAGTCGGAGAATCGCCATGGTGCAGGCATACGGAACGGTATCTCTAGCTAGGCGGCTGGTTAGCTATTTAACGTCAATCTGACTGGAAACCAAAGTTATTAGTCTGTGATAGCTCTACAAGAATGCTATGCTCCGTTGCTGATGGTTGCGTGATCCACTGCCAGTGTGTAGACGTTCCATTGTTATGTTGAGTGGGTGCAGGAAAGAGTTTCGTTTCGTAAGACCTTCTTTTACCACTCAGAAGTTATCTTTTTAGTGCTTGCGGGGAGATCGGAGGGGTGGGGGTTTTGGTGGGTACATCCGCGCAACTTGCTTCCCTGTTTTGGCATTGGATGGTCTGTTCTATGGTGGTGTGACCGAGGGACCGTTTGATGCAGCCAGAGAGGGAATATTTGATGGCGATATTGAAGGACTGTCTGATGGAATCGTGGAGGGAATCTGGCTCAAGGAAGGCCGTAAAGATGGCCTGGCTGATGGTTCTACCGAAAGTTCTGATGGTTTGAGAGATGGTGCCAAGGATGGCTGGTGGGATGGTGTGCGAGATGGGACCTGGCTCACAGTGATGGTTGTGCAGATGGCCTGCTTGATGGTTCAATGGAAGGGATCACTGATGGTTGCATGGACGGGCTATTGGATGCCTTGGAAGGACTGGTGGATGGGGCTGCCAGTATTGAAGGACTGCCAGATGGTACTATGGATGGTTGGCTGGATGGTTTCATAGATGGCCTGCCAGATGGTTCCATGGATGGACTCAATGATGGTCGCAGAGACGGGCTTTCAGATGACGTGCTGGAAGGGCTGTTTGATGGTGCTAAAGATGGGGCCAATGATGGACTAACTGAGGGTTCTAGAGTTGACGGAGCCTTCGTCGGAACAGCAGTCGGCTTTCCTGTTGCAGCCATTGTAGGTTTCCCCGTGGCAGGAGCTGGAGAGGGTTTGGGAGTTGATGGAGCCTTGGTAGGAGCTGGAGGGGGCTTGGAAGAGGGGGACTTTGTGGGAGCGGCCGGTGAGGGTTTTTGGGTTGACGGAGCAGGAGTTGATGGAGCCTTGGTAGGAGCTGGAGGGGGTTTGGAAGAGGGTGATTTTGTGGGAGCGGCCGGGGATGGTTTTTGGGTTGACGGAGCAGGAGTTGATGGAGCCTTGGTAGGAGCTGGAGGGGGTTGGAAGAGGGTGACTTTGTGGGAGCGGCCGGGGATGGTTTTTGGGTTGACGGAGCAGGAGTTGATGGAGCCTTGGTAGGAGCTGGAGGGGGCTTGGAAGAGGGGGACTTTGTGGGAGCGGCCGGTGAGGGTTTTTGGGTTGACGGAGCAGGAGTTGATGGAGCCTTGGTAGGAGCTGGAGGGGGTTTGGAAGAGGGTGACTTTGTGGGAGCGACCGGGGATGGCTTTTGGGTTGACGGAGCGGGAGTTGATGGACCCTTGGTAGGAGCTGGAGGGGGGTTGGAAGAGGGTGACTTTGTGGGAGCGGCCGGGGATGGTTTTTGGGTTGAGGGAGCAGGAGTTGATGGACCCTTGGTAGGACCTGGAGGGGGTTTGGAAGAGGGGGACTTTGTGGGAGCGGCCGGGGATGGTTTTTGGGTTGACGGAGCCGGAGTTGATGGAGCCTTGGTAGGAGCTGGAGGGGGTTTGGAAGAGGGGGACTTTGTGGGAGCGGCCGGTGAGGGTTTTTGGGTTGAAGGAGCAGGAGTTGATGGAGCCTTGGTAGGAGCTGGAGGGGGTTGGGAAGAGGGTGACTTTGTGGGAGCGACCGGGGATGGCTTTTGGGTTGACGGAGCGGGAGTTGTGGTGGAAGGGGATGGCTTTGGACCGGGAGAAGGTTTTGAGCTGGAAGCTTTAGTTGGAGACAATGTTGGAGAAAATGAGGGTGTAGGAAACCCTGAAGAATCAGCGGTGGGCTGTGCTGGCAGGGTGCTCGGTGAAGGTTTTGGATCGGGGGGAGGCAAACGAGTGGGATTTGGTGTCTTGGCTGGTGTTGGCTTGGGAGTCAATGGAGATTTCGTTGGCAGTGCCCCTGAAGGTATGAATGTTGGCTGCATCGGAGCTGGACCACTTTGCGTAGGCTTTGCTGTGTTCGTACTAGTAGGGAATTGTGAGCCGGCCGGAATTGCAGTGGGCTTTCCAACAGGGCCTGTTGGTGTTGGTTTAGGGGGGGTTGGTGGTCGTGTCGGCAATGGCGACCCAGAAGAAGTTGGGGGTGGTGGAGAAGATGTAGGTGGTACTGGTGTGGTGCTGGATGATGGTGCTGGCGTGTTGCCGAGTGTCGTGGCCGTTGGAGACTCTGTTGGTGATAGAGTGGCATCACTATCTGCCGAGCTAACCACTGTAGCACCACTGTCGACAATGGCAGGTTGTGTTGTGAGCGATTCAGTGAAGCTCGCATCATTGCCATTATACAAACTAAAACCATTGGTCTCTGTACTGGGTTGCACCAGCGCAGTAACCTCAAAGGTGATGGTCTCCTGCACATTATTCAATTCAATGTCTCCAACACGTGAGGCATTGTATTCTGTGGAGTAACCAGCTGTCCCTGTTGTGTTCAGTGTCTCAGTTGTGTTGAGTGTTGTTTGCTCCCTGATATTGCTTTCTTGTCCAAAGAAAAATCCAAAATTGAGACTTGAAGTAATGTCAGGAGGAGCCCTTGCTTGCAGTCTCCTTCCTCCTCGCCCAATGACCACAACCCGCTGAACCCTGGGATCACAAGGGTCCTTGGTCAATTCACTGTCTGCATCCATGAAAGCTTCAATCAGCTGGGCATCCTCAATCTCCGCTGAACCCACAAGGGTGACACTGTAGGTTGTTCTTGCTCTTGTATCCAGGCACTCAGATGAAACAGTGGGATTTATCGATGGCATGTTTGCTGGACCCAATGATACTGATGTGGGCTTGGAAATTGTTGGCCCCTGAGTTTGTGGTGGGCCTGTTTGGCTGCTTCCAACTGCTGTTGGTCCCATTGAAGCTGGTGTGGGCTTGCTACCAGGTGGCATTGAACCCATTGCTGTTGGCTGTTTTGGAGCAGGCACGGTAGTAGGTTGATTTGCTGGGAATGCTGTTTTTGGATTCGTTGTCTGTGTTGGTCCAGGGGTCATGGGTTGGCTGCCTGATGCTGGTGTGGGCTTGCTTCCGGGTGGCATTGAACCCGTTGCTGTTGGCTGTTTTGGAGCAGGCACGGCAGTAGGTTGATTTGCTGGGAATGCTGTTTTTGGATTCGTTGTCTGTGTTGGTCCAGGGGTCATGGGTTGGCTGCCTGACGATGGTGTGGGCTTGCTACCGGGTGGCATTGGACCCATGGCTGTAGGCTGTTTTGGAGCAGGCACGGCAGTAGGTTGATTTGCTGGGAAAGGTGTGCCTGGAATTGCCGCCTGTGTCGGTTGTGGTTGGTTGGTTCCGATCGATGTTGGTTGTTTTGGGCCAGGACCACCACTTGTAGGTTTGTTCACTGGGAACAGTGTGCTTGGCATTGCTGTCTGTGGCTGTGGCTTTGGGGGTGGAGGAGGAGGTGGGCGTTCCGGGGGTGGGGGAGGTGGGCGTTCCAGAACTGTTGTGGTTGCTGCTGACACTGCCTCTTCATATGTGTCACCCTACATGCAAAAAGGAAATTAGCTCAATCATCCAGTGCCACAAGAGCGCACGGCGACTAGTAGAACTCACCGATCCCAAAGCAATAGCACCCTTGGAACCACTAATGGCACCAACACTGTTAAAGGCTTGCAAGAAATTTCCCTCAGTCCCTCCCTCATATAGTTCAACTTCGCGCTCACCCAAGAAAGCTCCCTCAATCTCGCTGACAATATATACTCCAACTTCGAAAGAAATGACCTCATGTTTAAAGCGAGATGATCTGGCAACCAAACTTGTAGTTTGAATGAAGAAACCATCTCTTTCTTGTACCGAAACAGATTCAATAATTGGTGCACATGAAGGCTTTGGTGTAGCACTGTCAGCAGCCAGGAAAGCATCACCTAAATCAGAATCTGACAATGATGTTGCAATTCCGTTTTCAATGACAATGTAATAGGTCAAGGTTTCAAAGTCTCGAAATGTAGTAAAGTCATCGCAAGTCACGGCTTCAGCAATAGTTGGAAACGGTGTGGAAGGTGTGGCCATTGGAGGTGGCCGTGGGGGTGGTTCTGGAGGGTTATTTGGAATTGGCCCTTGTGGTGTGCCAGGGATTGGATTGTTGATTGGAGGAACCTGAGGCGTGCCAGGGTTTGGGTTGTTGTTTGGAGGAACAGGATTGTTATTAGGAGGAACTGGATTGCTATTTGAAGGTTGAGGATTGTTATTTGGAGGAGCAGGATTAGGAACGGGATTGTTGTTGTTTGGAGGATTAGGATTAGGAATGGGATTGTTGTTGTTTGGAGAGGAGGATTAGGAACGGGATTGCTGTTGTTTGGAGGAGGAGGATTAGGAACGGGATTGTTGTTTGGAGGAGGAGGATTTGGAACGGGATTGTTATTTGGAGGAGCAGGATTAGGCACTGGATTGTTGTCGTTTGGAGGAGCAGGATTTGGAACGGGATTGTTGTTTGGAGGAGGAGGATTAGAAACTGGATTGTTGTTGTTTGGAGGAGGAGGATTAGGACTGGATTGTTGTTTGGAGGGGGCTGTTGGTTTGGATTTGTTGGGACACCAGGAGGAGCAGGCGGCGGCTGGTCGCCAGCGCCAGGACCAGCACCAACTGCGCCAGGAGGTGGCGGTGGAGGGCCAGGGGCTGGGACTCCTCCTGGGCCTCCACCAGGACCACCAGCTACTGTGCCAGGAGGTGGGGGTGGCGGGCCAGGGGCTGGCACTACTCCTGGGCCTCCAGCAGGACCACCAGCTACTGCGCCAGGAGGTGGGGGTGGAGGGCCAGGGGCCGGCACTCCTCCGGGGCCTCCAGCAGGACCACCAGCTACTGTGCCAGGAGGTGGTGGTGGAGGGCCAGGGGCTGGCACTCCTCCTGGTGGAGGCCCAGGACCAGGAGGTGGAGGCGGAGGGCCTCCAGTGGTGAGCCTCCACCGAGACCACCACCTGGGCCAGGAGGCGGAGGTGGACCCCCTGGCCCTACTCCTGGGGCTCCACCTGGGCCAGGAGGAGGTGGCGGAGGGCCACCTGGACCAGGCGGCGGTGGGCTTCCAATAGGACCACCACCTTGGCCAGGAGGAGCACCACCTGGGCCAAGGGGGGGAGGTGGTGGAGGGCCCCCACCAGGACCCAATGGACCACCACCTGGGCCAGGCGGAGGAGGAAGCGGTGGACCCCCTGGGCCACCCGGACCACCGCCTTGGCCAGGAGGAGGTGGTGGTGGAACCCCCGGGCCCCCAGGACCACCACCTTGGCCAGGAGGAGGCGGTGGTGGTGGTGGTGGACCCCCAGGCCCTCCACCAGGACCACACCTTGGCCAGGAGGAGGAGGCGGTGGACCTCCCGGCCCCAGGACCACCACCTTGGCCGAGGAGGTGGTGTGGGGTGGACCCCCCGGGCCCCCAGGGCCGCCGCCTTGGCCAGGAGGAGGAGGTGGTGGAGGTGGACCCCCCGGGCCCCCAGGACCACCGCCTTGGCCAGGAGGAGGAGGCGGTGGAAGTGCCCCCCCCGGCCCACCAGGACCACCACCTTGGCCAGGAGGAGGTGGTGGTGGAGGTGGACCCCCTGGCCCTCCACCAGGTCCACCTGGAGGAGGAGGCGGCGGTCCACCTCCTGGGCCCCCACCAGGACCCCCTGGACCTCCATTTGGCCCTGGCCCACCATTCGGTCCTCCTGGCCGAGGAGGTGGTGGTTTGTCATCCCCTGGTTTTCCCGCAACACCGTCAAAGTTTGCCTCACTATTGTCCTCATAGTCCTCCCAGGTGGGCTCATTGGTTGGATCAGGAGTAGGTTCGAATGTAGGCTCATAAGTGGGTGCTGGTGTTGGCTCCTTTGTTGGTTGCAGTGTTGGTTCTATTGTAGGTTCAGGTGTGGGTGCTGGTGTTGGAACAGCTGTTGGTAGAGGTGAGGGTTGTAGAGCCGTGGCGTCGACAGCTCGTTCCAAAATGTCTGGGCAGTCTTGCTCTGAGGTTGCGAAACTGGCGCATGAATACAACGTGTTGGCGTCCACTCCTGCACCTGCAAGTGCTGTCTGACAGTACGGCGTTTGCTCCAATTGCCCCATTCCATCAAAGCAGGCTTGAATGGATGCAGCTTCACGGCTTGTAGTTACTGTCCCATCGTTTCGTTCGACAATCCTCAAGGCTTGGTTGATGGTGTTGGTGTCGACACTGCTGAGCGCCTTGCGATCTCCTCCCGGTCCTTGTTCAGTCTCTTGTGGGGACGCCGATGAATCCTCCTGTTCCTCTTTCTTTGGCTCGGGGCATTCCGTGGTTTGTGCAAATACCACCTGCACTTGCCGGGTTTGTCCATCGTAAATGGAAGTATTGAATGGAGCTGTACTATTGTAGTTAACTGCAATTCCATTCAAGTATCGATCCATGGTGAACCCAAACGACGCGGCAAAGAGTCCAAAAAAGTCGGACATGTCAAAGGATCCCGCCATGGAATCATTTCGTGGGACAAAGTCATCTCCCACGGCAAAGAGCGGTTCGTAGTCGGGGCAACCGGAGCAATCCACAATGGCACGCCATTGCAGCGTGGTAATGCTGGACGCCACCGCTTCATCGTAAGCACGTCCCGATGTGACATTGATGCGATCCTCGGCAGCCGCAAACTCGGGACTCCATTGGGTATCCCAGTCGATCAATTCCGCATTGTGAATGACGCGATCGTAATGATCCAAACACATGCCCGTGATGGAATTGTAGACATCACGAAAGATCTGCCGCGTATCCTCCGCCTCGTCTGCTTCTCGAAAGAGATAGGGTGGCACTCCTGTAATCTGAAGTTCCACACATCCTTCTTTTTCTTGAGAGGTTGTCGAACAAACGGGCGGAACAAAGCTATCTCCAAAGTTGTAATGTACGCTGTTGGATTGTGTCTGTGTGACGACAATGGCCCCCGTGGATACGACCGTGACGGCTGCCACTCCCACAGCCACCGCAGTTTGCGTGGCGACAGTGGAGGATGCGACCGCCGTGGTTGCTGCCGTCGTGACGGCTGTGGTGGTCCCCCCTGCTGCTGCTCCTGCAGCCCCTAAGTAACACCAGAGAAAGCAACAAAGCACGTACATGCATCGATGAGAACACACATACCACAAAAGATTGATTCGAAATTCAACCCCAAAGCTACAGTCATACACTAGAATCTTACCTGCAGCAGCCGCGGCTGTCGCAGTTGCCGTGGTCGTGGCAGCAGCTGTCGCCCCGGCCGCCCCTTGAGCCGATACAACTGCCATTTGTGCCTGCAGCAAAGACAAGCACAGGAGTGAGACTTACACACGTAAAACATTGCCTTCTTATAGCAGCAATGCTGCGATGCTGAGTTGGAACGTACCACTACGGCTGTCGCTTGTGTGGCCGTGACGGCCGTTGTCGCCGACGCCGACGCGGCCGTGGTAGCCGACGCAGAGGATGCCGTCACGGCACTGGAGGTGGCAGCACTGGTCATACTGGCAGATGTCGAAGCGACTGCACTGGAAGTGGCCGATGCTGTGGTTGTAGTGGTGGCGGTTGTCGCTGTTGTTGTGGCTGTAGTAGTAGTAGTAGTTGTTGTCCCCATGATTCCCGTTCCTCCCGTGGTGGTTTGTGTGACTCCCGTGGCTCCCAATTCGGCAGCTTCTTCGAATACTTCTTGTGCCATTTGTTGCTGTTCGTCTCCTGCCTTTTGTCTCTTGACGACAAAACACAGCAATAGACTTCCCTGCCAGACAAGTCTTTGGAGTGACGTGTATACGAATTCGTAGGCCATGAAAAAGGCCATGTTTCGTCGGAGGTGTTTTTCTCGTTCGGCTTGAACATCCCCAATACTAGTGTGTGTGGTGTCACTCATACTCATGGCGTCCTCGTCGCTGCGGCGATGAATCACAGTGCTTCCATGTCGTAGTTTGTTGTACTGATGGGCAAAATCGGAATCGTCCAGTTCATTCTGTTCCTGCAATAATCGATCCGAGTCGTCCTCCAATACTTTGGTCTGCGCTTCTAGTTCATCCACATCCACTTCATGGACGTCCAGCTGGCGACTATCATTGTCATCATCGTCGATCGTTTCCGGAATGACAAAGCTGTCATGCCCTAGAGCAATTTCGGTTCCACTGGAGAGCAGTCGAGGCGCGGTGGCGGCAGTGGCCAACATGGAAGCCCGTGTTGTCATGAAGGAAGGTCGAGTGGCCAATAAGGGTGCAGGTTCCATGCCACCAATAGTGGAGAAGCGTACTCTTCGTTCGTGATCGTTGGCACTAAAGTCTGCTCCTGCTGCCATGAAATGATCTTGCTGTTGTCGAGAACTCATATCCAACAAGAGCGTTCGACGATGGCGACGGCTGGAACGCTGTTGACTCCGTCGACGGTCCAAGGAGCCGTTGCTGCTGCTTCCAGTGGAGCCACTCACACTCTCACTGTCGCTCTCACTGTTGCTCATGCTCATGCTTTGGCTGTCATCTTGATCATCCTCTTGATCGTCATCAGCTTGACCTTCATCAGCAGCAGAAGCGAGTAGAGAATCCACGTCCACTTCTTCAGCTTCATCATCACTACTGCTGCTCACTAGGGAATCGGCGTCAATCACACCGCTATCGACGCGCATCTGCATCGTCGCCTTGGCTCCTCGTCTCATGGTTGCTATGCTAAGTTGCTTCTATTACTACTGTAGGAATTGGCTTTGTCTTGTGTAACTTGAAAGGATAGACTTTTGGCTTGACTGATCTGTCTGATCGACTGTCGCAGATCACATCAATCACGGCAGGTTGGTGCTGTGCCGGTTGCTACTGTGCAACCAACTATCATCTATTGAGATGGACCAGTTGGTGGTTGATGATTCTTGTGGCTTCTCATCAAACACAACAAGCAAGACGAAAAGGGTGAAGCAGGGCAACAGCTGTCATCAAGCCAAAGCAGTCTCCAAGCGAAGCTCGAAGCAGGACCGAGCAAACCACTGGCTTAAACAGTGGGGGTGAATGCCTCGTGCATGTGGCTCTGTAATTACCATCGTCTCTTCTTGTACTAAACTTGAAGATGTCTGTTCATTCAGTCATTTTAAGTTCCAAGGGAGCACAGGTGGTGGTACCACTGTGCAATTTGCTACTAGATTGTGAGAAGCGACCCTCCAAAATCAGAAACCTGCACAGGATAAGGTAAAAACGCGAATACTTTGCATAAGCTAAGCTAGCAATGTACACTAAGTCTTACCGTACTACTGGTAGCTATTCTGGCTTGTTACTACAGTACTAGCTAGTATCATACGGTGGAACTACCACAGAAAAGTCATTGAAGGTCTTCCGTGACAGCTTGGTCTTACTTGCCGTAACGCTTTTGTCATTCGGAAACATGTGTTATGTCATTCTGTGCCACTTTCCGATCCAGTCTTCTCTGGCCAAATTTTGTGAACCGGTGCTGCGTTTCGGAGCTGTTGCGGTCACAGCTGCCACCTCGCTGGTTTGCATCTAACCGGGCCCCAGCTGTCACCCCCTGAACAGGCACCACCTCCCCACGTTTGCTCGTTGTGGGATTGGATTGGATTGGATTCGATTCATTCACCTCATCAAACCATTCAGCTCCATGGAGCCGCCCAATAACCATTCAAGAGCTACACTGGAAGGTGCCAGCAATATGCTAGCTACACCGCTAATCCGAGAGGTTGCAGCGAAATCTACGCACCAAGAATACTACATAGTATACTGTAGCAAACATCATTCTAGTTACATCCACCATTAGCTATCGTCGCAGCATGCATGCTAGCTAGGACCTTTACGCGCCACAAATGCGACTGTAACTCTTCGGTTCTTCTTGGAGAGAAACGTACAAAAAAGATACCATTAGTGTTACCGTAGACAGTGTACCATGCATGTACATACGTGTATGTGTACGGACTCACCAAGTAGGATTATTTCTTATGCCCAAGGCTAGTTAAGTTGGCAGGCATCTGAGATGCCCAAGAACAAGCGAGATGCTAGAGTTCAGGAGGTGCTCGACCAGGGGATCGCAGAATCCCTCCAAGTCTAGGTCCCAGGGCACCGTTGCCGTTCAAATGAATCCCATTGCGCACCTTCAAGCCACTAGGAATGGCTCGCAGTTCTGGATTCTTTTGATCTCGCTGAATTGCACCTGTCAATGTAGTGAGCACATCTGTGTGATAGTACTGCTTGATCTTCTCATTGGCTGCCTCGATGGTGTGGCCACTGTTGCACAGGTAGGCTTGGACCTTCTAGATCCTAAGGCGACGACCATACATGACCTTGGTTGCACTGTTCTTGTTCCTCTCGCCACTGGTAAAGTCCTTAGCTGCCTTGCCATAGTAGCCAATAGTCCACTCAACCCACATTTCCATGAGAGTCTTGATATTGCCTTTCATCATGGCAGTTGCTGACACATCTCGATTTCGCTGTTGGCGACGTCCTGCCCGTGCAGGTGCACGTTGTTGACCTCGATCGGCTGCAGGTGCACGTTGTTGTTGACCTTGACCTGCTGCACCGGCTGCAGGTGCACGTGGTTGACGGGCTTCTTCCTCTTGCCGTTCCTCTTGTCTTGCCACTTCTCTCTCGTCAATCTCATTTTGGCGGTTCCTAGCTTGTCTGACAGGATCCTGCCTCTGAAATGCTGACTCAATAGTGCCACCAAATCTTCTTTGGTTGTTCACCACTCTATCGAACTGTTGCCCCATCCATTGCCTATCAGCAGCCTGCTGTGCTTTGATCGCTTGGAAGTGTTCTTGGTTTATTTCTTCTTGTCTCCTCACGAGCGAAACTAGAGTGTTCCAATTGTCACGACTGACCTGCATTGTGTCATTGTTCGCCGTGCCGTTGCCAGTTGCCGCTGCAGCTTCTGCCTCTTGGTTGGTTCCTGCATCCACAATATCTAAGCCCCTGTTGATGCTGATGACTTTGATTTGTATCTTTTCCACGGGATTGCCTACCAAATTCGGAAAAGCCGTGTTGACGTTTGTTCGTACCCTGTCAACTTGTTCTGAAAAGAAGAAGCGCCGTGAGAGGAATCATACAAAAATCCAAAGTAGTTAGTAGACGTACCAGCTGGTAAATATTCAGAGGCAGCCGTATCATAGCAAGCCCAAAGAGTAGCTAGCGCCAGTACCATGCAGAACCGACTCTCATTCTCGTATCGCTTGGAGTTCATGATATTGGGGATGCAAGTGAAGAACAGGAAGTTGTCATCCATCTGCAGTTCCTCCTTCAACTTATACCTAATCGCTCCCCCCTCACACAGGAGTGCTGCCATCTTTGCATCCGTGTATGGGTCATCCTTGCCAAAGTAGTGCTTGTCGACAACTCTATGATTGGTGTCTCCAATCCAACGGCCTCTGAATTCAACCTCAAAGCGAATAGCACCGGCGGCTTTCAGAATTCGGCAGAAAAGCTTTCTTCCAGAGTGAGTGCCGAGACCCTTGTCTGCGTCTTCTCCAGTTTCATCCCATAGTGCTTTGAATTCCTCGTGCATCCAGCAAACAATTTCAACACGGCTGGAGTACTGCTTCTTCAGGTTTAATGGTCCATTTGTTGTGTCTTCATTTTCAGTCCACAAATGCACTGCATTGGGAAACATTCCAAGCCATTGCTCCAAGTAGATAGCTAGGTGTAGGATAACACAACTCTTCCAGTCGTTGGATGCCATCATGATCTGATCAGGGCAGTTCTTGTTGGTTTTGACATTCTCACTCCAGGATGTCTTTGTCTTGATTGTAAAAGGGAAGGCCCTGTTGCCATGAGGAGCGGCGACTTTGAAATGAGCCGTGTCATCAATCCTATGGACAAGGTGACACATCCACAGTGACATGGTCAAATATTTGTACTTGTGGTTGAAATCCGTGCACTCCCTGAACAGTCTCAGAATCATCATGAATTCTGAAAGGCTGTAAGCTCGCTTGTCGTTGGCCTCTTTTCCTTCATCTCGAGTCTCCCATTTCTCCACTGTTGCAATGACATCATTAACTGCATCAGAGCGAGTAGGATTTCCACCTGCACTGCCATCTGGAAACTCCATCCAGCCAACCCGCTTGTTGATCATGAAAAAGGAAATTGCCCCCTTGTATTTCTTGAGCGAACCTGCTCTGGCCTTTGTGGGTCGGTCATCTGGTCCGGGCCTGCTCTTGCCATAGGCCTTCCATTCAAGATACCGTGCCACATGATGGGGCTTAATCGAAAGTAGTTCGGCTTTCGTGTATTCCTTGTTGCGAGGGTACTTGTTGTCAATTCGGCCGTCTTTGTGACTCATTAACTCGCTGATATAAAACTGGTGCTGCTTGTTGACAGGATACCTCCATCCTTCCTCTTCCTCCTCAGGCGGCGGCGGCGGCGGCGGCGGCGGCGGTGGTGGTGGTGGTGGAGGCTCATCGTCGCTCTCGTTTTCTTCCTCATCAAAGACCGAGTTGCCGTTCGCCATCATTGTTGTTTCGTTTACTAGCTAGCTACTAGCGTGGAAATGAGGAAAGAAGATAGATTGATTATGTGCGAGCCATCTTCTTCTTCATGTGATGCCGAGTTGGCAGGCTCCGTTGGCAGGCTCCGTTACATAGAAGGCATCTTTGCTTTGGACTTAGAGGGCGTAACATTGGCTAAGGTTAGATAGTGTGACAAATCGTGTTACCCATTTGGGAGGTAATTCTCTTCTAGTCACGGGCTGGACTGCCCAGATCCTGAGGGGTTTCTGTCCGAGAAAGTCATTTCCCCTAGTATGAAGGCGTATTTCCCTGGGCATGTTACAGGAGTAACATTTTGGGGTTATTTGAGATGGAATGTTGGCGTTTGTTTTTTGGTCGCTCGCTTCAGAGTTCTGACGTCATTAGTGACTGAGGAGTCCTTCCACGAAGTAATAGATCACGGGGCTGAAATCCACGATCTCCGTGGCCAAAGCTTTCTTGGTCGTCGGATCTTTTGCCATGCTGGGTGCTTTGGATGGTCATTGCCTGAAAACCGCGGAAGAGCACTCAGCATAACCTCGCTCTGGGTATCTGGCAAACTATCTATCTTTTACGTTGTCCTGCAACTATACTAGCTACGACCTAGGAGAGTTAATAGCAGAGACCAAGACAGGGATCTGCAACAAGACAAAACAAGATGATGAACTCTGGTGACGATGACTTTCCTCCCAATCCGTTCCGAACGGACGGAGGTGGAGCTCCTGGGTTTGCCCAGCCACCCCCTCAGCAACAACAACCTCAATTTGGCCAACCCCAACCCCAATTTGGTGGTCAATTGGATCCTGTTCAGGCCAACAACCATATGAATCAAGGTCCTCAGTTTCAACCCTCGGCAGCCGCCATGGGAATGGGAGGAGCCATGTCCCCCCAACAAATGGATCCCACCACTCCCGCTTCGACATCCACTTCGTGGTGGGGTCTCTGCATGGCATGTATGCGACTGGACACGTACAAGAGGTATTTCGATGTCGATACCTACGATATCCAAAAACGCATGATTGCCGCCATGACCCATTTCCATCAACCCCAATATTTCCGAGATCAGGTCGTTGGACCCGAAAATCCTAATCTGGGAATTGATGCTGCCACCACTTCGGATCTGAAAGGACCCGATCTCTATGGACCTGTTTGGATTACATTTGTCTTGATCCTCATGGTGGCGGTACGTACGGGACCAGCAGGAACATCAAATCAGACTGTTTTTGTTTTTGCTACCCCTTGTTTTCTCACCAAAATTTCTTCTTTTTCTCATTTTAATGTTCTTCTTTCATTATTCACACTATCGCATTGTATTGTATTGTAGGCCACTGCCAACTGGTCTGCCTCACTCCGTTACAGCAATGATGTGGAAGCGGAATTCGAATATGACATTAACCATCTCTTGCATGCGTGGACATTTTTGACCGCCTTTGTCTTTGGTGTCCCTTCCGTCTTTTGGCTCTGTACTCGATGCATGTCGCTGCAGGCATTGACATTGCCCGAATGGATCTGCTACTACGGATACTCCATGGTACCCTATCTCCCAGCGTCCATTCTCTGTACCATTCCCGTCAATTTTATTGCCTGGATTGTATTGATGGCCGCCACGGCGGCATCGGGACTACTCGTCTTGCGCAATGCTTCCACACCACTCTTGGCCAGTGATGCCACGGCGCAAAAAGCACCTCCTCTCATTCTCGCCATTCTGGTCGCACATTTCATTTTCTTTGTCGCCATGGGTGTCACGTTTTATCATCATGGAAAGGCACATCATGCCGTGTAATTGTGTAAGTGCACAGCAACAAAAAGACAAAAATCAATATACAAATACAAATGACGACAAAAACAAACAAAACAAATTGAATTAAAGGATACCAAGGGAGGAAATTTTAGATTGAATTACCGTAACTGTTTCCAGGCAACAATCGTAAAAGCAGCCAGTATCGGAGGAATCAATCTTAGTTTGTGGTGTGGCGTCCAGTCCAAACAATTTATATGAGATCATTCGGGTTTTTCCACTTTCAAAACCTTGAAGGACACGGTGGAATGATAATATAGATTAGGGAAACGACGGATGGACCGTTGCTCTCAAACTGGGAAATCCAAAGCGACCTTGGTACATGTGCAGGTAGGCTACGGTAACCAGGCTCCACCATCTTTCTCAGCGAAGAGGACTTTTTGCGTGCCAAACCGAGGAGGTGGGGGCGAGGTTCCAAAAGCCTTGCTGGCCCCGCATCCAGTGAAACTCGTGCTGACGAGAACTTGGCTGCTCCTAATCATGCATCGAGCATCGAGGTTCAATTATAAAAAGCCAACAGAGTTTCTGGTAGCTCACCCGCTATGCCCATGGATGGCTCCGTAGCCCATCTTTTGCATACGTCGAATCGTGCAATTTCAAGGATTGCTCCGCCTCTTCATCTCTCGACTGCTTCGCATGAATACATGGTTGATAAGTAACCGCACTCTCCATTCTAAAAACAAAGCAACTAATAAGGGTTCGTAGCGGTATGTAAACTCTAAAGGCCTTTATCTCTACTTTGCAGGGACTGTTTATAGCGTTTCCTTCGACGTACCACCTCTCATCCAACCAGGGCCTCGTTTTCCTCCTCTTCCATCACGAATAGCACTGCTCCATCGCTAACGATATCGTCGACGTTGTAGCGAATTTCAGCCATGAATCCATCCCGTGGACTGGTGATGGAGTGATTCATTTTCATTGCTTCCAAGACCATCACAACTTCTCCGGCCTCCACACTATCTCCCACGTCCTTGTTCACGCGAACGACTTTGCCTGGCATAGGAGACTTGACGGCTTTGTCGCCAAGGGCACCCTGCGACCCACCCGTAGAAACTGGAGCGAGGGGATGTTCGAAGTCAATCTCCCAAAAGAATTCTTCTGTCTGGCTTGGCTCTTTGGCCCAAACTCCAACACTGAGGATGCCATCAGACTCCCTCAGAATGGTTGTCGTTGTCATTCGATGAGTCCCGTTCACAACTAATTGCATATTGTCGTGATCATCAATCGATCCAGAAATGTGGAACTCTTCCTCCACTCCCGCATCCGTTACCACTTGGATATCAAACGAACCGTCTCGGTTACTAATGCACTTGACAAGTGACCCATCGTCGTTGTCTTCACCAGCTAGCTTTAGCGGGCGACTTGCGCGGTCGCCTGCCCTCCAAGAACCTGACAGTGACGACCATGGCGAGGATTGGTGCTGTTGAGTTCCAATCCTTTTCTCCAAACGAAGCATGGCTGCGAACGCTCCGATGGACTGGGCAAGAGGACTTGGTCTAGTGCTCTCGTCCATGTGAACATCGTCTGCAAAGTCCTCTAGGAAACCCGTGTTGCATTTCCCTGGCTGACGAAAGGTTGGATGATTGGCACACTTGATCAAGAATTCAATGTTCGTGGGCACTCCACCAATTTGGTATCCTTTGAGAGACTTGACAAGTTTGTCTAATGCCAGCTCTCTGTTCTGGTCATGAACAATCAACTTGGAAATCATGGGATCATAGTAGACTCCAACCTCCTGACCGGATTGAAGCCCCGTATCCACTCGAACGCCTGTATTGGAAGCACCAGTGTTCATTTCACAAGGAGGAGAGTGGTGCCAGATAGTGCCTGTTGCCGGCAAAAAGCCCCTGGCTGGATTTTCGGCATAGATCCGAGCCTCAAAGGCATGCCCCATGCAGGGAATATCCTCTTGTTTCATGGGGATTTCTTCGCCTGCGGCAATCCGCAGTTGCCACTCGACCAAGTCCACTCCGGTGATTTGTTCGGTAATGGGATGTTCCACTTGCAATCGGGTGTTCATTTCGCAAAAATAAAACTTTTCAGGATCATTGGTATCCAGCAAAAACTCGACCGTCCCGGCATTGACATATCCCACAGCTTGGGCGGCTCGAGTGCCCATTGCTCCCAGTTCTTGTCGAATGGGCGCTGGTAGATCCGAAGCCGGTGCTTCTTCAATAATCTTTTGATGTCGTCGCTGCAAACTACAGTCCCGTTCGTATAAATGAACGGCATTGCCCAAGCTGTCTGCTATGACTTGTACTTCGACATGTCGTGGTCGCACCAAGTACTTTTCCAACAACACGGCGGAATCTCCAAAGGCAGATTGACTTTCTCGCTGACAGGAAGCCAATGCTTCTTCGAATTCACTTTCGTTCCATACCAAACGCATTCCCTTGCCTCCACCTCCCATGACGGCCTTGATCAATAGGGGGAATCCCACTTCGGTGACGGCCTTGTGCTTCAAGAATTCAACATCTTGGTTTTCATCTCCAAAGAATCCAGGAGTAATGGGAACATTGGCGTCCTTCATAATGGCCTTGCTATTGGAAAAACGACCAAACAAGAAAGATGAAACACAGAACAAAAATTAGTTCTTGTTCTAGACATCATACCGTAGCTCCATACTGGTAGAAGCTACCAACCTTTTGGATTTGGATCCCATTGCTTCAATGGCCGAAGCAGGTGGACCAATAAATCGGATGGACGCATCTTCAACTTTGTTGACAAACCCTGCATTTTCGCTGAGAAAGCCATAACCTATAGTAAACGAAGGGCATTATATCATGTTGAGACAGAAGCAAATTTTCTGGCAGGTCCAATTCATCCTGATTTTCCTGCTGCCCCTAACCTACCTGGATGCAACGCTGTGGCTCCTGCCCGTTGAGCAATTTCCAGAACTTGATCTTGAAGCAAATACGAGTCAGTTGGAGAAGGTCCCGTCCCAATCAAGTAGGCTTCATCGGCCATGCGGGCATGCAGTGCATCGGGTCCATCGGCGACACTGTAGAGTGCTACCGTCGGAATTCCCAATCTTTGACACGTCCGAAGGACCCGACAAGCAATTTCTCCTCGATTGGCTACCAGCACCTTGTCGAGCGCCACCTTGGAAGAAAATGATCTTCCAGCAGGATGGCGCCTTGCCAGATTTTGAAAGGAGGGTCTCAGTCGGAACATTTTCAAACTAGCCAGCTACTACTATTAATAGAGGTGTAGCCTCAATCTCTCTGGCTTTTCTTCAGCAGAGAGGTTTATGAAAGCCGAGAGGATTTTTGGCAATGACACTCTCCAGAACCCCCAGGACAAGAATGGCGTCAACAAGAAACCCCAGGATCTGGACGAGAATTTGCGTCAATGAGAAAGTAGCAGGTGGCAACAGTCACGCTACAGCGAGTCCCTCTTTCGATTTGGATCTTTTGCGATCTAAATGACACTGAGTCGTGCATACCTTAGGAAAGAATTCTCTTGCAAATCACAGAATTTTTAGTTTCGTCGCCCCTTGATAACCGGACATCATCTTTCTCGGAACCAATGATGAATGATGAAGAGATTCAGCACAGATTGATTCAGAGAAGAGCTCTCTCTTGACAACTTCTTCATTGACACCCAATACAGGTGTTGGATCCCCTTCTCATCACATCATTTCATAGTTTGGAGAGTTGTTCCGGTTATAGACAGTTTTGAAAAAATGACATCCTCTCCAGTTTCCGTCGTACCCGTAGAGGCACCCAAAGAGGAGCCCCTAGAGCTGTCCCTCTTGGCGGAAGTAGAGAAGAATCAGCCATGGATTTGCCCGGCTTCCGCTAAGTCTATTCGAACCGTCAATCCCATTCGAGCCATTGTGGATCCGATCGTGGCCAACATGAAAACGGGAGAGGAACGGGGAGATGGCAAAGATTTGATTTCTTTGGCGGTACGAAAGAACTTATTACTATCTTGTCTTGTCTTGTCTTGTCTTGTCGTTTCCATGGAAAAAGTTCTTTGATAACTCACTCAGACGTTTCTCGTTCGCCCATGCTCACAGCTGGGAGACCCCACAGTAGCCGGGAACCTCCCTCCCTGTCCCGTGGCACTGACTGCCGTGGAGACAGCATTGCAATCACAAGGCCATGCCGCTGGATACGTCAATGCCTGTGGCGTTCCAGCCGCCCGAGAGGCAATCGCACGCTTCCACAATGCCAAGTCGGCCGATGCCGTCGTCATTGCCAATGGCTGCAGTGGTGCCTTGGAACTGGCCTTGACGGCACTATTGGATCCTGGAACCGTCTTGTTGGTGCCATCTCCCGGATTTCCACTCTACCAAGTCATTGCCGAATCTCACGGTGCCAGTGTGGTGCACTACCGCTTGCTGCCTGACCAAAACTGGGAATGCGATCTCCGGCACATGGAGGAACTCCTTGGACTTTATGGGCCTCATCGCGTCCGAGGGATTCTTGTCAATAATCCCTGCAATCCGACCGGTGCTGTCTTTTCCCGAGCGCATCTCGAACAATTGGTGGCGTTTGCGGAACGGCACCGACTGCCCATTGTGGCCGATGAAGTCTATGGAGACTTGACATTTCAAGAACATCCCTTTCATCCCATGGCATGTGTGGCCAGTGGAAAAGTACCCGTCATTACGGCCAGTGGTTTAGCCAAGCAATTCTTGGTCCCTGGATGGCGAGTCGGATGGATTGTCTTTCACGATAAGTAAGTGACTGCATACATTGTTGCAACTGAGTGTTTTGTTTGGTTGATTGATTGAAACGCTATCTGCTGGAACCAACTGACGACTCCACTCACCTCCAATTGGTGACATCTCACTGCTGCTGCCCTTTCCTGATAGTGTTCAAGGGTCTCTGAGAGAGGTAGAGGCCGGCGCCAAACGTCTAGCACAAGTGGTGTTGGGAGCGTCGCACTTGGTGCAGATGGTCGTCCCCAAGATATTGGATAGCAACAATCAAGAGCTGCGACAGTGGAAAGCAGACCTCAAGTTGACACTGGAAGAACAGGCCAAGTTTCTGAGTCTCAAGTTGAAGGATTGCCCAGGTTTGGAAGTCAAGGAACCACAGGGAGCCATGTACTTTATCTTGAGGATTCATGTCTCCAAGTTTGGGCCTGCCATTCAATCCGATCTGGACTTTAGCTCGCTGCTTCTGCAGGAAGAAAACGTCTTTGTTCTTCCAGGAATAGCGTTTGGAGTCCCGGGCTTTTTCCGCGTAGTCTTTTGTGGCCCCGCCACGGTTTTGGAGCAGGCTACCAAGAGGATCCAATGCTTTTGTGAACGTCATTTTCAGGCTAGCTAGCTGAGCACTCAGGCCAAGGCATAGAAGAAGAGGGGTGGATGAGATGAGTGCTGTGGCTGTTTTGGAGGATATGCACTCGGCAACATTCACGTTTTTAGAGAAATGTAGATTTCAACAATCCAGCAAGGCTACCTTATCGTAACGGTAGTATACGGATACATGAAACACATTGTTTGGTTAAATGATAAAACCTAGATTCAGGTCGTCTACAAGCAATTAGATTTGCGCACACAGCCAGTGAAGAACGTGAAGGAGTGCTGTGGCACCTGCGTCGTTCCATTTTTTTAAATAAATTGACTTGGTCTGCACGGGCACTCTTCATGAGCCTTTCCCTTGGGTGCGGTACATCGTACCCAGCTTTGCTGTCTGATAACTACTAGACTAGTATGAGGATACGGTAGTTTTTTCTTTTAGCCTTTACGCTAACTGGCTTATGCGAAATAATTTTGGCTCGAAGACGCGCGAGTTTAATTAACATCATCAAAAGAGAGCTGAACGGAGAGGCAATGTAGCGTATCCTACTCTAGCTAGTAGCCAGTATTATCAACAACGACAATGTCCAGCTCCAGCAGCATCATTAACCATGTTCATGACAGCAACAACAACGGCAACGACCAGAAACAGAACTCAAACAAGAAAAGGGGCGGGCGAAACCCAAAGCACGGTCGTGGGATAGGTCGTGGCCGTGGCCAAGGGAAGCCGAAAACGGGGAGTGGCGTGGACCAAACACAATGGCGAAGCCTTGATAAAAACTACCGGAAATGGCTTGTGGAGTTTGGGTTGGCTGTCAACGCTGCGGCATTTATGCTTTGTCTGTTCAGCAGAAACTGGACATTCAAAGAGAATACCGGTCGCAATCACAGGATGAAAACTTCAAGAATCTGCTTGTGGAGGTTGCTTCTAAGAACATGGCGGCAGGATGGAATAAGATTAGCGAACATCGCACAACTCATGAGTCCCAGACAGTGAAACAGAATTCCATCAAGTACTACGGACTTGACGGAAATTACCACTGTCAGATTCTTGGGAATGGAATAGAGCATGTTGTGAATGCTCACATCTGGCCGCACAACAATAGAGAAAACCTGCCTCTGGTTACGTTGGAAGAGACAGATATTGACAACCCGAAGAATGTTCTTCGCCTTCATTCAGATATTGAATGGCACTTTGATCGATTCTTCCGTACATTTGTGCAATCAGGAGCTGATTTATTGTCAAAATTTGGATCCAAAACGTTGGAACAGCTCCCCTGAAAGACACCAATCCGCCTCGTACACTGGGGAGCATTGAGGGTCAACCATTCTTGTTTCCAACTGTACATCAAGAGAATCGCCCATGGAGCCATCTCCTTACCACACATTCTATTTTTGCTCACCGCCAAGCTCGGGAAAATGGTTTCTTGAAGGATGACCAAGTGACAAGTGCAGAGTGTTCTGCAGTGGAGCTCCTGCAGTTTTCGGTGGACAAAGAGGCTCAGGCCCGAATGAAACAATTCGTCAATTCGAGCAATTATTAGGACTATAGTATGTGTTTGCGAATATATTGTGTGCTTGCGAGCGCGTCTGCAGAAGGTAGCTAGCCTGAGAAGGGGGTGATGATGATGATACAAACCTCGTTCATGTCGAAGATGTCGAGCGTGCACAAGAAGCTGGATGAAGACGAGAGAGCTAACATGGAAAAGCAAACAGCACTTACTTGCAAAGAGACTTCAATGTATGATATTTCAAAGCTTTCTAACTAGCTACTAGTAGTCGAGCCCATGACCATACTCAGCGTAACTACACGCATCCAGTTTGAAATACAGATCTTCGTCGCTGTCATCCTCATAGAAGGTATTCATGGGACGAGATGCCCGAGTTGGTACTGCTTTGGGACGCATCATGCTGGTTCCTTCCTGTGGGCGAAAGTATTGTCGTTGATCGGTTGGTTTGGACCAATTTCCTTTGCAAAATTCATTGCACCGGTGGTTGCTAAAGAAAGTGCTAATGCCCTGAGGTCCCAAGTCAGTGACGCCATATGCTTTGTTGCGTGAGAGAATCACTGGATCGGTCAACACAACTGAAGTGGCATAGACTCCACCCTGCAGATCACAGAGGACCACATTACCACCGGAAGCATGGTAGGAGTAGTGACTGAGGGCTTGCATGACTCTCGGCCAGGGTGTGGAATCATCTGCCCAACCCGTATTGGAATTGAACTTTTGGTAGTTTTGAATGAATGGTTCCTGGAGACACTTGCGGCCAGCCCAGCCACCGCCAGATGTGTTTTTGAACGTCCAAACCTCGGGTATGTTAATCTGTATCAGTTTGTTGATTTGTTTGGTTCGATTCCACTGTTGAATAATCTCCAAGGCCTTGTTCATGGCTTCAATGTCCTTGTCAAAGAAGGTAGCCTCAAAGACAGCGCCACTCTTGAACCACTTGCAGACGCATGCTTGACCCGATCTGCCACCCTTTACATATTGACCCTTGGCCACCCATCGAAAGCCACCTTCGGCAAATGGATGGTCCAGATCGTAGGTTTGAAAGGTGGCTTCTTGGGCATTATTGCGCCGAGCCGTTTGGGACGCATCCACTCCGTCACTTCCGGTAGCAGGAGCGCCTCCACCGTTGATACAGGAATGACATCGCGAGACACCAACTGACTTTCTCCACTGATTGTTGCTGTAGGAATGGCGGTCCAGCACCCTGTTGCAAGTGGCACACTGACGGGTTGACATGATGGCTACAACCTTCAATGCTGTTATCTTCCTCCTCCTATGACATAGATCGACGTGCCAATGAGCAATCGGGTTGTGAGGGGATCTTCTTGCAGGGCGAGATCCCAAGAAAATCCGACCTGGATCCATACAAACCAGTTTAGCTGTCAAAGATATTTGAATTGTTTTTGTCAAAAAAGAAGGCTCCCGCGGGATTGATATACGCGCATTGGCCACCACGACCACGACCACATGGACACACGCGGAAGCAAAACCAAAGAACAGAGCCATCACAATGAGAAGTGCGTGAGATCTGGCAACGCTGAATCCGTGGACGCTGGGACCTCAACATCACATCACCTTGGACCTCAACACAACATCACCTTGGACCACTTCCGCATGCAATAGTGTGCTTTGGAGGCACTTGTAGCTGCGATTATCTACTCGAGTAGCTGCCTTGCTCGCCCCCGCTGATTATCCTGCCGATTGTTGCGGCAGGCTACCCCGTTTGCATTATTAGTTCAGGTGCAACTTTGTTTATCTATCTATCTCAAGCAAGATGGTGGCAGCTGCCAAGACGGCGGATACAGTGGTGGATGCGGTGGATTTGCTGGATGCTTCCTTTCACAACCTGGCAACGGTCGAGGAGAATGACGTCCAAAAAATCAAGTCACCGGGCCGTGATGAAGATTTTGTAGCCTTTGTGGAGGGTAGCAAGCCTCTCAAGGAGAACACGGCCGAAGACATGCTATCCAATTCGGCGCGATCACTGCATAATAACAATAAAGACGACAAGGCCGAATTGGAGGAAATCCGACGAGATATTCAACAAGGACTGGAACCCGATTTGGTAGTGACGGATACCTGTAGCAAGAGAACCTCGGTCACCAGTCTTCAAAATGGAGAACTGTCGCTGCCAACAGAACCACAACCCAAACGCTTCACGTCTCCCAAAGATTTCGAGTTGCTCAAAGTCATTGGAATGGGAGCTTTTGGAAAAGTACTGCAGGTCCGAAACCGCACATCTGGACAAATTTTAGCCATGAAAGTTATCTCCAAACGATTGCTCAAGCGAAAGAGTGGTTATGTCGAAAACATTCGTGCCGAACGCAATATTCTCACACGAGTCCGACATCCATTTGTCGTCATGATGCATGTGGTAAGTGTAGTATCCAACAAACAAACAAACAAACAAACAAACCCGCAAATGAATGGCATATCTGATTCATTCTCACGACTTTTTGCTGTTTCTTGGATTATTATCTATCTTTGGCTGTCATCAGTCCTTTCAAAGCAAGTTCAAGCTCTTTATTGTCATGGATTTTCTTGCTGGGGGAGAACTGTTTCTTCGTCTAGGTATGGCCGCCATCCAAACAAGTCTTGTCCCTGTTTGTGATCCCCTCCTTGCTCTATACCGTACTCACACTATCTTTCTTACTTGTTCCTGTTTCCATCAATTCCAGGACGGGAGGGGATTTTCTTAGAAAAGACGGCAGCATTCTATCTAGCAGAAATCATCTTGGCGCTAGAATTTCTTCACAATCTGGGTACGTACAACCTCATTCATGGCATTCTTCAGGGCTTACCAACAAACTTTTACTTACTTTCTCACTCATGACCATCATAAACACAGGCGTGCTCCATCGTGATTTGGTAAGTCATCTGCTGCACATGCTGTTGTTAAGTATCAAGGTAGTTCCCAAAATCTTATATTCTTTCTTCATGCCTACTCTAGAAACCCGAGAACATTCTCTTGGGTGAAGATGGACATGTGTGCTTGACAGATTTCGGATTGGCCAAAGACTTTTCGGGTGAGGGAGGGTTCCAGAACGATGATCACGAAGCGCGAGCTTCCACCATTTGTGGAACAATAGGTAAGAAGCAAAAATAGAGTGTGGATTCGATTCATGAATGCATTGGATTGGAATACTGATGAGTGCTCTCGGTTTCTCTCTGTCTAAAGAATACATGGCACCGGAGATGGTCGCTCGCAAGGGTTATGGTCGTGCCGCAGATTATTGGTCACTGGGTTGTATCGCCTACGAAATGCTCAATGGACTCCCACCCTTCCGATCAAAAATGGGGTCCAAGGATTTGTTTCGCAAAATCATGTCCGAAAAAGTCAAAATGCCTGATGGAGCCTCTGCTGCGGCTTGTAAACTGCTCAAAGGATTGCTTCATAGAACGCCACATTCACGGTTGGGCGCGGCGCGGAGTACCATGTTTGAAGTCGGAGGACCGGCTGGACTCAAAAAGGTGGATTTCTTCAAAACAATTGATTGGGAAAAGTTGGAACGGAAGGAAGTGGAGCCACCCGAACGATTGACTGTACAGAATGATCAAGATTTGCAGCATTTTCATGATGAGTAAGTGATAATGACTGTGGCGGTTGCACGCAAGTTGATGGATCCGCTCTCTAACTTGATTCGAATCATTCGATCTGTTGTTCCGTTCATTGCAGATTTACCACAATGCCGCTACCTCGATCCGTTGTCGTGGAGACTCACGACAGTTTCGTTGCGAGGAGAATTGAATCCGACAATTTTAGGGGTTTCTCTTTTATCCAGGAAGACTTTATGTTGCCCGAGAGGGACCAACAGGAGCTTGAGAATTATTGGAACAGCGCTGACGAAGAAGGGGAGTCCGAGTCGGAATGTGCCTCGAGCAAAATGGGATCCGATGACGGAAAACCACAGGAGCCGATTGTGCCAATTGAACCCGAAAAGAAAAAGAGGCCGCCGCGAAAGCGAAAGAAAAAGAACAAGGTGGCCGAGACGGCTGCAAACATTGCGGGAGCGGGTTCCGATCTTGCCTTGAGTGTCAAGAGCGAAGAGTCCGATGTGACACCAAAGCAACAACATGCATCCACTCCTGTCAACGGCGCTATCACAACGCCTCCAAAGGCCGAGACTGTTGCCGCAAAGGTTTCCCCACAGAATGCGAAACCAGCTACCACACAAAAGTCAAAGACTTTGCATGCAGCTCCGGCACATCCACCCAAGGTTGATGCTCGGCAGGCTGCCAAAGCCGGGCCCCCAGGGACGACGCCCAAAGCGCAGCCCCTTCAACAACAACCAACGCGACAGCAACCAGGAAGGGGTCAACCAAAGCAGCCACAGCGGAACCCACAACAACCATGGGGACAGCAGCAACAGCCGTATTCGCTGGACCGATCGCGGAACCTAAAGTATGCTCCGCCACAAAGGCGAGGTCTCGCTCCCACTCAAGGGAGCTTGGAAGGTGCTGGTCCCCATTACTCGCAGCAACACGGTGTGCAGCAGAAGAAAGGATGGACTGTTGTTGCGCAACCAACCGCTACGCCTCCAGCACCTCGCGGGTGGGCCAACCAATCCACACCTAACCGTCCCTCCCCCCAGACCCAATCCACACCCACCCGTCCCACCGGCCCCAATCCTACAACTCCACGTGGGCCTGCACCAGGCTCGTGGGCTGCCAAAATTAGCTCTCAAAAGCCGCCAACACGTGCCGCCAAAATTATGGAGCCACCGCCACCCCCGTCGCCCATGACCACGCGACAAGCAATCGTAGATGTTCCTCCATCGCCGTCCTCCGATTGGCGCAGCCACACCATGAGTCCATCTCCCCGAAAAGCAAAGACTGCGGAGAATTGGCCTGGATTGAGCGACTTTCCAGCTCCACCCACTCTAAAGCCCACGACACCTAGTAAGGCTATGAAGCCGCTACAAGGCGCTTGGGCCTCGAGAAAGTAAGAAAGTGGTGCCCAGCTAGCTATGCATCTACGGCAGCTTTCATCCACTGTTTTCTTGTGTGCAAAACGGGAGAGATTGATGAAAATAAATTGTTAATATGAGATGAAGTATAAGCTATGGCTTGCTAATATGACGATTCGATTCGATTCCATTACTAGTAACCCACAGAGTAAAAAGATTCGATTCGATGGTGCAGAACACATCGCATCCACAGTGGTGCTGTAGATTAGATGTTGTAGCTTCTTACTCGTCGTCCGAGTCTTCATCGGTATTGCGATACGAGCGCTTCACATCCACGGGAACATTCCTCGACTTCCTGGTCGGTTCCTTCGTCCAATAGAGACCCAATCTTTTGCCCTCGTCGTCGTTGTCAGGCAAAGCTGTCGAGGTTTTGCTGCCAGTTGCGGTGGCTTTGGTGTTCTTGGCACTCATCTTGCTCGTTCTGGCAGTACTAGTAGTACTTGTAGTACTTGTAATCGTCTTCCTGTTCACTTCGGTCGTCGTTGAGCAAAGATTACTCTCCTCTTCTTGCTCTTCATCCTTTGCCTCGTCACCTCGGATTTCAATTTTTGCGCTGCCAAAAGCCTTTACCAAAGCTTCCAATTCGTCCGACGTCACATAGTGTTCTTGTTTCGAGGAGTGCCTCGAGCACGCTTTGAGGGGCGTAACGACCAACTTTGCAGACCATCCCGTAGTGAGTCCAACATCCGAATCGTGGTCCTGGGGTTTACCACCGCCCACGGGCACATTCTCGTTCTCGTGGAGGAGGCAACTATCAGGAGTATCTTTGAAAGTATCTGGGAAAGCTTTGCTCAGTGGGGTCATCTTTTTGGTGTTGAGCTTCATGGTGATGCGGTAGTAGTGAGATGATTGGTAGAGGTTGGATTGCTTTTTGGGGTAGCTTTTGGTTTTCTTGTTTTCTGTTTTAGAGATTGTGAGACTGATGCTTGGACGATTTGCCTCCAACTCGTGCGATCATCCAGCGACTCTAGGCACGATGGTTCGACAGTTTGCGACGTTCATCGTGGAGTCTCTCCTTCACTTGAAAGCCTCAGAGCGAAAGCTTTTGTCGACGAGCGAGGAGCGAACACGGCAAGTGCTAAAAAATGAGGGCGTGGGAGTGGTGTCGTGCGAGCGGTTGAGGGTCGACGGGGTTCACAGCTCTGCTGGTTACTACTGGAGTAGCGGTACCGGTAGATCTTGGATGACGTCAAGGATCTTTGTGGGTGTACATGTCAGCGGTGAGAACACTTTGAGGATCACTTTCGACGAGACAACCCCATCAATGATGCTCTTGAAAGGTCGACGCCACAGATCGCATTACATGTAGTTAGTTGTACTGGGGTAGCTTTGCATTGTGTTGTCATTCATATTCATTATCACTCCTCTTTGATAATAGCAAGCAGCAACCATGGTAGACGGAGAAACGAAGAAAACATTCCCTGTGAAGGCATGGGTAGATGAAAAGATTTTGGCCGAGGGCCTTAAAATGAAACCAGAACTGATTGGCTCGATCGATAATGGAACTTCTTCCACTCGTTTTCTCTTGTTTACTCCTCAAGGGAAAATTGGAGCTTCGGCTCAGGTATGTTTTACTCTGTCTCATTGGGAGTATTATTATCTACTGTTCTATCCCAACTGGTCATCTTTTCCTCTTTTCTTTCCATTTTAGGTCGAATATACCCAATATTTCCCTTCTGGAGAGGATAAAAGTGGATGGCACGAACACGATCCCGTGGAGATTTGGGAGTCTGTCGTCACGTGCATCCAGGCCGTACTGAAGGAACTAGAAAAGGCCAAAATCAAAGATCGGCCCATTGCTGCCATTGGGATCACCAATCAACGAGAAACCACCATTGCCTGGGATGCCGACACGGGCGTACCCTACTACAATGCCATTGTATGGGATGACCTACGAACCACAGGTATTGCCGATGAGATTGCCCAGGGCAATGCCGACCGTTTCCGTGGAAAAACCGGACTTCCCCTTGCGAGTTATTTTGCGGGTACCAAAGTCAAATGGCTCGTAGACAATGTGCCCCAATTACGCCAAGACTTGAGAGACCGCGAAAAATCCTCCAGTGTCCGCTTTGGAACGGTCGATTCTTGGTTACTCTATCAACTCACTGGAACCAAATCACGCGCCCAAGGAGCTGCCAATTTTAACGGAATGTTTGCTACCGATGTCAGTAATGCCTCACGATGGCTCTTTTTGGATCTCAAAACGGTGCAATGGGACCAGGGTCTCGTGGATGCCATTTGTTCCCCCCACAAGGTTCCTCTCTCGGCATTGCCCACCATTATGCCATCCAGTCATCATTATGGCGTCTGCCAAAGCATTTCCGAAATTCAGGGTGTCCCACTCACGGCCATTCTGGGAGATCAACAGGCAGCACTGTTTGGACAGTGTGCCTTTGATGCTGGCAAGGCCAAATGTACCTACGGGACGGGACTCTTTCTCATGAAGAATACCGGCACCCGACAAGTTGCCAGCACACACGGCATGCTCACGACGGTGGCCTATCAGATTGGACAAAAGGGCAAGGTATACTACGCGTTGGAAGGCAGTGTCAGTCATTCCGGTAGTACTATCCAGTGGCTCCGAGACAAACTCAACATTATCCAATCTGCTCCCGAATCGGAATCGTTGGCCAAGGGGACCCAAAGCAACGAAGGATTGTACCTGGTCCCTGCCTTTGCAGGATTGTTTGCGCCTCATTGGAGATCCGATGCCAGAGCTTGTATTGTGGGCATGACGGCCAGTCATCACAAGGGCCACATTTGCAGGGCGGCGCTGGAAGCTGCCTGCTATCAAGCGCGTGAAGTCTTTGAAGCCATTGTGGCCGATTCCCCGTTTGATCTCAAGTCCCTCTCGGTTGATGGTGAGTTTGTTTTTAGCTGGTTGTTTTGGACAGAGAATAGCAAACGAAGCAAGGAAACATGTCAACTTACAACATTGCGTGTTTTGTATTGATCCAGGTGGAGCCACGGAAAACAGACTCATGATGCAGTTTCAATCGGATATGCTGGACTTGACCGTCATTCGACCCGAAGTAGGTGAGACGACAGCGTTGGGCGCGGCGTTTGCAGCAGGACTGGCCGTCGGCGTGTGGAAGGATTTGGAGGAATTGAACAAGCTTCGCGCTATTAAAGAAAAGTTTCAACCTAGCATGGATGCGCGAGTCCGAGAAAAGAATTGGCAGGGATGGCAAAAGGCAGTATCTCGAAGTTTGGGATGGATAGACTCGGATGCGGTGGAGGATACGACAGAGAGAGCAGGTTCCCTGGCCGAGATGGCTCCTTACGTTGCTTTGACCGGCCTGGCGTTGGGAGTAGGGTTCCTCTTGGGCCAGAGGAACAAGTAGTTTCGCTTGGCCCGGAAGAGCAAGTAGGTTTTGGACTCCTCAGTGAGTGTGCATTACTATAGCTTAGCTAGATGAAGTGTCGTATATGACTAGCCTGCAATCAACTGTACCGGTACAGCACACTGTAAAAGCACACCTGTGAGCCAAATCAAAACCATGCTCCAAGCGGGACTTCTTTTGCAACCCCTTGCTACCCCAAAGCTCAGACTAAACTCAGTATTCCTACTAGCTAGCTAGTACCGTACCCCCAGATGATGTTCTACGTCTGGACACACCGGTAAGGTGGAAGCATAGGAAAAGAAGGGACTGCATGATGTACATAATGGACATCATGATGTATTACCCGTGCCTTGGCTTTTAATTCATTGAAAGCTAGCTTGATAGGGAAGGGTGCTGCGGCCACCATCACTACTGTACATGTGTCGTAGGTCTACTAGCTAGTACTAGTACGGTCTAGCTATGATAGCCAGAGTACCGGGAGTCATTGAACAAGTGTGCTTCCTGTAGAAAATGTTCCCCATCATGTGCGGAAGCTACTATTAATTAATAGTAGCTATTTAGCAGATAGCAATATTATTGCTATACTCGAGAAAAAATTACGTCCGTTGCAGGGAGCAGCTCGTATGTGCCCATCACTGTCATACTCGACTCTCGACGGAGGCACTATCTGAGAATGGTGTGAAGGCGCTCTCTTCACTATAGCAACAACTTTGAAGCTAGTAGGAATAGCCTCGTCGATACCTTAACAACTATCTGCACAAAGGAAGGAGTGGTACTAGTAGCTGATTGCCTATACTATACCCCTGCCATCCAACTCCTCAGTCGTTTCTTTCCCGGAACGGTCTTTCCAACAAGAGTATAAGAGTGAGGCTTGACTGGTGCATCCCACTACTGTCGTCCAGAAGGAGATAACACCGACTTGGGTATCACCGCGAATCTATGCAAGCCATTGTGTTTTGAAAAAGAGGTTCTATATACTCACTATACATTAATTGCAACTGGGGGTATACGAGATCTTTTAATTAATAAGAACAACACACCAAGATCAATAATATGGGTAAACCGGACGATTCCGATGCCGATCGGCGTCGCAATGAAATGAACATGTTCTCGGCTTTTGCTCGAGGAGGAGGCGATTTATCATCTGCCTTGGATGACAGCACGGATCATAGTACTGCAGCCGCCGAGAAAGACGACAACATTAGCCGGAATCTGTTTGATTCTGGATCGATGCATATTCCACCAAAGAAAACTGAGGAAGCCAGACAGAAAGATGAAATGGCAGCGTTTTCTGCAGCTGCTGGAGGTGGGGGGGATCTTTCTTCCATTGCCGGCTTTTCTGCAGCGGCTGGAGGTGGAGATCTTTCTTCCATTGCTGGATTCTCTGCGGCTGCTAGAGGTGGTGGAGATCTTTCCTCCATTGCTGGATTTTCTGCGGCTGCTGGAGGTGGTGAGGATCTTTCTTCCATTGCTGGATTCTCTGCGGCTGCTAGAGGTGGTGGGGATCTTTCCTCCATTGCTGGATTTTCTGCAGCGGCTGGAGGAGGTGGGGATCTTTCCTCCATTGCTGGATTTTCTGCAGCTGCTGGAGGTGGGGATCTTTCCTCCATTTCCGGCTTTTCTGCGGCCGCCAATTCCAGTGCCAGTGACACGGTCAACTTATATTCCGGCATGGACTCGGGTACCTTTGCCAAAAAGCCTCCCGAAATGGACTCGGGTACCTTTAACGTGACGTCCAGTTCTTCCATCGCACCTTCTCAACGAAGCTCGGATGTATCGTACCTAGATCAGGCAGCAGCCGCTTTGGCGCTAGGCTTTGACGATGATGATGATGACGACGTGGAGAAGAAAGATACCAGAATTGCGGGGCTGTCGTGGCCAATACCCGTGTCTGGGGCAGATCAAAGACAGCAAAAGATGGAGCCAGATTTCCCAATGTACAATGAGGAAGTTAGAATGCAGAGGCCATTGTTCTTTGGACCTTTGGTCCCACCACGGGTCTTGAATGAAGCACGACAAATTGTAAACAAGGCCCTTCAGGATCAGGGGTATGATGGTCTAGATCCCGACACGGGAGAGGTAAAGGATGAATCCAAGCCACTGCCTCGGTTGAGTTCCTTGCCACCCGAAGTGCAAAATATTGTAGGGACTCTTAGAGTGTATGGACATGGATTGTCTGCATTTCCCACGGATTCAAAGAAAGAGGAAGACGAAGCAGCAGACAGCGACAAGCCATTTTGGAAAGGTTCATCGTATGTCTCATCCTTTCAACCCGTCTTTGGTGACACGGCACGCATGTTCCGACAGCAACAGGGCATGCTGGTAAACACTGCCCCACCGCCACCGGAAGACAATGCACAACCACCAAGCGAGGGCCAACCACAACAATCATCTGGTGCCGTGTCCCAAGAGGCTTCCAGCAACAACAATTCAGGAAACATTGTAGGAAATGAGATTGATGTTGACGCCATTTGTCAAGAGGAAGCCAATGCCGCCTTTCTCAAGAACATCTCCAATCAGGCTGGCACTAGTCCTCAAAACCAAACTATCGTTTCTACCGCCAAGAAAGCGGTCGAACCAAAAGTCGATCCGGCAAAACGAAGTGAGATTGATCTCTTCTCCATGTTAGCCCGTGGTGAAGGAGGAATGGATGATAGTGTTGGCGCCGCAGCAGACGACAACAATAGTCAAGGGAGTTTTGGTAGCCTCACGAAAGAGAAAGACAAAAACGCGGGTGTGAGAAAGCAAATGAGCAATGTTTCCGATCTGAGCGTCTCAACCCACTCCAAACCGCACATTCCACAGAATGGAGTTGCCGACTCTGATGATGGAGGAAAACCAATGCCCATGCTCAATGCGGACGTGTTTGCTCAATGGGCAAGGTGCGCATACATTGGAGGGAACCAACTGGTTTTCGTAGGCTTGCGTGCCCTCACCATTTCGCCTTTTCTGCATTTCCCAGAGGAGAATCACCTGCAAACAAAGCAACCAATGGAACCTTTTCTTCTGGCACAATGACGAACACATTCGTAATGCGAGAAAAGGCAGCTCTCAAAAAGCCTCCTTCTCGACCTCAGTTTCCATTTGGTGGAGGCGCTGCTGGGACCTTTCAACGTATACCGGCAACCAATCTGAATGATAGCGATGATGATTCCATTGTTGGGAGTGAACTGAAAAAGAAGGTTGGTGTCAACGAACATTTGGATAGGGCTCTGGCTAGCCTAGTTGATGAGGGTCTTGCGCCGCAAACTCCAGGCGATGAAGACGAAACGACCTTCCTACCGGTAATGCGTGCCACCGAGGGTGGTAGACCCTTGAGCAACATTGAGCTGACCAATGGTTGTGTCCCGATTTTTGGAGTCGACAACGCCCCACTTCCTGTGGAAGGAGACCTTGGGATTCACGAAACCAAAAACGATGAGCAACGGACAGCCGAGCAAAAGCGCTCGCAGGAAATAATAGACAAATACGTGGGTCCAAATGTCTTTGGACCAGTAGCTTGTCCAAATCCCGCGACAAGCCCCGATGACAACCACAGCTGGAATTCGAGATCAGCGCCATCTCATCGATACAACGCAGGAGGTGGGGCTGGCGGGGGCAACCCTTCTGATCGCGTGGGAGTCCCACCTGCAACGATGGATACTGCACACAGCCCCAAGCCTCCACCAGCCCCCAATCGAAAGACATCTAGGAACCAATCTCCCAGGGTCGCCAGTCGCTCTAGGAATCATGCATCTGCAGCAATGTCGACGCCTGTTTCGAGGAAAACTACATCAAAAGCTACTGCCCCGCCAAGTAGTGCCAAGCGGGGTGGGCGATTGAATACTCGACACAGATTTGGATGGTGGAGTCCACCAGAGAGCTTGGAGAATGGGAAAGGCGGAGTCGTGTCTTCCGACCATTCCGTCATCAGCGGCTCTGAGCAAAGCAATTCTTCGTCCACTGTACAAAACACTGAGGCGTCTTCACAAGAAGATCCCCTACAGCTCCCACCGTTGTACCATGCATCGCAAAATGTTCATATTGACACACGGTTGCAGCCAGGGCCTGAAAAGCTCAAAGAGGAGAATCTTCCTCTCTCGGACCTACACTCGGCTACCGCGTTGGCCAATGCACTTCCATATCTGTCTGACCGCCCACCGAGCTACAGATACTTGCAGATAGACACACAAGCAGTTGGTTTTCCCCCACTTGGCGCTGACGTGGAGCCCCTCTTCTGTTCCCTTGCAATCTACAATGTAGAAACAACGCCCGGCAATGATCACGGTTCCACACCCAGACCGGATTTGCAAAGATGCGGCAGGGTGACAGAAGTCCTCAATTTTGACGTAGTAACTGACCCTCAGGTTGAAGAGAGTTGCATTGGCTCGCTGTGGCCATTCTTCGCATCTTCAACTATGACACCGCAGACAAGCAAGACAGGGTCTGTGTCGCAGGCGACACAGAACTCGCTGTCTTCAAACCCATCGCTTCAAGGGACTCGGTGCGGTGTTTTCCCCTTGCCTTCCAACCTAAATGTTGCCAATCTTTACGCGGTCCTCATTGTGCAAAAAGTGTTGGCGGAAGATGCAGACTTTGAGATTTACCTAAAACAGACCAAGTCAAGCAAGTCGTCGGGTGGTTTTGATTTGAACAAATTCCGCACGAAGGCAGAGAAAGCATCCAACCAACACGGTAGTTTCCTTATCCCTTTCGCATTTGGTGTGGCTCCGCTTCTACAGGTGTTTGGTGCGGACAATCCAGTTGTCGCAAGTAGCCGTGCTGTTCAAATTCCATTGTTTCGCTTCTCGGCTGGACAAGGAGAACGCCAAATCATTGATCATATCATGGTCATGTTGTATCCAAGGTAACTATGACTGTCACTCTGGTATCATATCGCATGAAGAGCCTCTCCACTTGATCTCATCTATGCCGTTCCACTCGTTTCCGCAGAGCCGATTTTCGGGCGAATGGCATCGGCGGGCCTGCTGCAGTGACCAATGGAGGAACAGCCATGTTGGTGATGAGGAATTTTGGATATCTTGGGTTGCATGCGGTAGTGCACAGCAGAAGTTCTCTGGCTAGAGATAGGCTTGTTGACTTTACAGGAGAAGTTCAGATACGACGGAGGAACGAGCAAGACCCCCCCGTCAACAAAGATGCAATTGTGAAGAGGGATGACCAGGTGTATGTTGTGCCTCAATGGCACCCTCAGTTCATTGCAGAGCCAACGGTAAATGGTGGGCGGAACTCGGTCGACCCTTTCGACCCTTACAGCGGCAAAGCTTCGACATCTAAACTGGAAAAGTTGGATGGCAATCCCTCCCGGTCACAACTCTACGCACAGGAACTGGCGCCGGTTTCATTGGCATCGGCTCCATTCGCGCCGACCGGCAGACATCCGCCATCATCAAGTGCTTCGCCTCGAGCTAGGGCCCCTGTCAACCGCTCTGATATTGAACCCTATTATCACACAACATTCTGCAATGAACTTCTGTGTCACCCGCGATTGCTCCACAGTTGCCCAAAAGGCAACATTGTCATGAAGGTAAAAAGTCGTTGTTGTTTTGTGTTTGCGGGTGGATAGTGTCCTCATTCTCGCGTGCGGTCCATTTCATGCTTTTGTGCAGGTTGAAATGCGGGAGCTCGAATGGAGCGAGGCCATCAACGGTTATGTGGCTCATTTGCCAAGTCATGGCCCCAGGTAAGTGTTCTGTTCAGATTTACCCCGAGGACTTCCTCTGCTTGCCACAAGTCTCAACTTCTGTTAATAAAATGATGTTGTAGTATTCATAACAACCGCAGAGGCCCCTTCCTCATTCAGGGAACGTACACATCCTGTGCTGCCAGAAGCAGCGATCCTAAATTTTTGGACGAAGTGAAGGTGAAGCTGCCTCTGGAACTGAATCCCAGAAAGAATGGTTCAACTGTGAGAACGCTGTCGTTGTTCTTCTCTGTGTATCATGTCAAGTTCAAGAGCTCCAAGAAGAAATGGTCAAAGGTCCTCCCAATTCGATCAAATAAACGTGATCCAAGAGTCTCGGGAGTCAACGATGTTGATGAAGCAACCGGCGAGAGATCCGAGCACGGCGACGACGATCGAAGTGGAAAGTGTAAACTTGTGTCTCTCGCTTGTGGGTTTCTCCCGATTACATCCCACGCCTGTCTTATCGACAATGGCTTGCACGATGTGAAAATGATGTACAAGGCACGGCCCCCCACCTCCGCAATGCGGTCGAAAGATGGCATACCTTCGAGTTGCTTGATCGTCACCGAGAAGAGCGAAGCGTCCATTCATTCTCAACGGGACTCTCAAGCCAGTTCCGGCGTTGATCCGAAAGAAGACGAAACGACCACTGGGAGCTCGAAAACGTACAGTGAAACAGAACACGTGGGGGGCGACGAGTCCGATGACGGTGGTTTCTCTGAGACAAGCGATCGCAGTGATCGGTACAACGATGCATCTTCTCATGGTGATGGGGTTCACAAGACCAAGACATCTCAAGGGCAAATGTCACTTCAGGTGCGTGTCGTTTTGGCACTTCCTCTGTCGCCACTACATGTCTTTTCTTACGATGCTGATTGCTTCTTTTGTCCTCCAAGGTGCGGATCGTTGTCCATTCTTCCCTCCATGTCCAAAACGCCATCTTGCGCGATTTCCTTCACAATGAAACTGACTACCCTGGCAGCATCATCACACTGGAGAAAGGTAATATGCAAGTAACAGGGCTCTCTCGGGAGGAGATAGTTCGTCAATTTTCGGCTGGGGCGGTTGGACTGTCACCTTTGACTGCATCGGCTGAAGAGAGGCTGGTCAACTCAGTGGTGAGCGTCGCAAAGCCATCACTTTGTTCTCCTCACCACATGGTGAAGCATTTGCTGAGAATAGTTCCCAAGGTTTGGAGAACGCTAATCTGCGGCACAGGAGATTTGGCTTGGGCCAATCCAGCATCCATAATTCCGCTAAGAGTCCATGCATTTGCGTCACTCTTGCAGATTGTTGGAAACGCCTCCGGATTCATGTCAAAGAGCGGCGTTACTCAGGTTGATGGCGTGGGAAAGTTTGACCCCGTGACACTAGCTCGCGTCATGTCATGGGTTTACGATGAAGAGTCCCTTTTTGGTGGCAAAGTGAAAGAACTTGTTGGGGACATCGATGTGTTCCTCAAAAGTGTGAAGGCGGCCAAAAGCTCGAAAAAAGAGGTAAACAGTAAAACTGCGGCGTCAGTAGATGACGATCCGAAAAAGGAAAAGGCGAAAAGAAGAAGGCGTCATCAGAGGAGCAACTTTGAACTTTTTAATGACAATCCACGGCGGGCAGATTCGATTGACATGTCTGATCCCACTTCTGACTTTGGGGAACTGGTGTCTGGCTTGCAGCTTCCTACCACAAATGATTTATCTACGCAGCATGCAGACGCCCCAGCGCCTCAGAGTCGACCGCCAAGGCAGCGTTCGCCTCCTCCGCCTGCCGCGAGGAACGTTTCTCCCTCTCCTGACAAAGAGTTGAGTTCCGCTGGTGACTTCGACTTTGCAAGTCTCAGTTCGCTCAGTGATACGGATTCCATCACCACGCCAGATGCGACGTCAGCCAAGCCGGCGGCGAAGGTGGATTCAAAATTCGATTTTCAAAGCAATTTGGAGTTGGGGCTTCAGAATGATGATGAAGGCTTGAATAAATTTGATGCTCCGCTCACATCTAGCAACACAAATCACCTGGTGCAGCTGTTTGGAGGCATGTCAGGGACAGGAAAGAAGAAGTACATGACAGCTCCCGCGTCACGGCTGGCGACAATTCGCGAAGATGACGATGATTCCGACGTGGGTACCGGTGTGAGCACAGAAGGGATGCCCCTTTCTCCACTTCAGCCGTCCACTTCTGTCGATGATCCAGATGACTCAGTGGCCTCGGAGCTGGTGATTACGGCCAAGAAAGCTCCAAAAATGTTCCGGCGACCAAAGGTAACAGGTAGGGCTGCGCCTTCGAGCCCGAAGAAGTCATTGGATTCCAACCCGTTGAACCCGGATCCTCCAGTACCTTCCGTACCTGAGCCACTTCGTTTACCAGAACCGAAGCACAAGTACGCCACGATCAGTGGGCTTTCTTCGCTGGATCCGCATGGTGTTCCACCAACGAAAGGCCATACAATGTCCGCAGGGGGTGCCTTCTTCGACTCTCTTTTCTCTGATCTTAATTCGGGGTATGTATCCGAGGCTGTTCTTTTACTGCACGCTACGTTTTGCTAACTCATGCTGCGCCCCTTGTTGATCTTGCAGGGATCTAACGGGTGGCCCTCCTAATGGTGGCAAAGGGAAACATAAACACCGGAAGACACAAAGCAGATGTAGCTATGATTGGAGTCTTCCTGGCGATGAACCAGTTGCATCCCACGAGATTAAGGCACCCAAGCCAGAGCCCGATGCAAAACGTGACGAAGACAACAATGATGATCAGGACGAATCTATGTCTACGTTGGAGCTTGAAGAAGAGAATTGTATACATCTCCCCAGTTACATTGATCGCCTGGTGGTACTTGGGGCTGCACCATCGGAGAAAGCATCAGGGCGGTGGTTTCCGTATACATACGAGGTGGTTATCTGCATGTGGACAGCTTTCTTGGTGCAGCAACGAAGCAAGGGCAACGTCCCTGATGCGAACTCTGTGAAATCGGCACAAGCCGACGACAATGCTAGCCTTGCAGCAGCCGCATCAGGTTGCCAAAGAGGGACTGTTGCTTGTGCCCCTCTTCTGTTCGAGATCATCAAGCAGAGCTTGGGTTTCCGAGTACGATGTTTGATGCGTGAAATCCCTGAACACAACGGCCTTGACCAGCAGTGTCCTCCATTGGTGGTTCTCGATGATACGCTCCAATCAAGCCTTGAACGATTGGTGTCCATGGTGACAGATGCTTGCCTCAACAGTCGCAACTTTGACTCACGGGATGTGCGACAAATGAGCATTGATGTTAACGATTCAATTGTCAGATTTTTGCGTGATATGTTTGGGTTTCTCAGCCCCAAAAGTGTTCACCGCTTGATCATTGTGTACCTCTCACGGTTTGTGACTAACGAAGGGAAGCAATGGCAGGATCGAGACTCGAGCATTGGATTGCGGTGCTCGTGGGAAATAACCAAGCTGCGTCTGAACGCTATGACTGCGTTGATTCGATTCCCTGACTTTCTCAGAGTATGTTCGCCCCAAATGAATAATTGGGGCACTCGATGGACTAGCCTTCAAGGCAGTGCACTGGATAGTTTCTTTGATGGCGTGATGCAGCATTTCAAAAAGCTGGAGCTTGGAGAGCTTGCCGGCGATGGCGGCTTGCGGCCTGATTACGAGGTTCCAAAAATGCGTCCTCACTGGCTTGCAGAATTGGTTACCGAGATCTGTCTGAACGGAATAGTTCACGCCGAGCAGTACATTCAACAGAGAGCAGCCTCGTTGTTGCACGAGCTATTCTGGACCAGCAGTCAACACAGCATGGGCAACGGCACCTCGGCGATTGTCGCCAGCATGTATGCGTCGTTCTTGGAGAAAGTTGTGAGCCAGTCAAGTTACCTGTCGAATTTTCCGCACAAGTCACAGCTGAGAAAGGATATTTTACCCTGTGTTGTGTTCGTTCTACAAAGCGCACCGAATGGACTGCTTCGGGCGATCTGGCGGAAGCTTTGCTTCGGTTCAATTGGAAAAGGGAGTTTTAGTCGGTATGGAGAGATTGGGGTGTCATTGTTTCCCGAGGGCGATGACCACACCGGCCAAGAACAGTCGAAGAACTCAGCACTGACAAGAAATGAGCCAGATATTCTTGACATGTTTACACTGTTGAACCTGACGTTGAGTACAATGGAATACGAAGGTTGCGAAGATCTCCTCGAGTCTGATGCCGTTGGTGGGGGCGGTGAAGTTGATGATCAAATAGGTATCTGGCACAAAGAGTATCTCTTGACGCAAGGAAAAGAAAACCAACAACCATTCATGAGCAGACGCCCCGGTTCGTCACAGAGTAGCAGGCTGATGGGTTCTGCGAATGACAAAGGCGAGAAAGCAGAGAAGGGATACTTTAGCTCTGGCTCGCGCAAGTGGCAATCTCACGACGGGGCAGTTGTGATTGTCAATTGTGGTAATCAGATTGTGACAGAGCTTGCAGCTCTGCTGCAGCAATCAGGAGGAGGTCAAACGTACCTGAATCGGTCAAAGCGGTCTTCGATGACACGGGCTTCTACTGCCGATTTCTCTTTTGCACACTTTGGAAGCAACACCAGTGACTTCAACTACTCCCGGGCGGATACCGTCATTTTTGTTCGTGCTGCCACTTCCCTTTACCTTCACGCCCTGGTAAGTTCTACTTGGTCATTGATGCTGCTGAAGCCTGTCATAGCACTTGCAGTACCTCAACGCTTTGTCGTGTTCAGGCATTGCGTCAAAGTGATATTGTGTTGGTGCGTACATTCAAGGTCTCTGGTGATCTTGTCAAGATGTTTGGAATTAAAGTTTTCCTTGAAGCTGTTGGCGAGACACTACAGCACTGGATGCGTGTCATATCGATGCACTGTGGAGCTCGCCGCGCAGTCGTTCGCATTGAGGCGACAGATTTCCTTGAACTCATTTTGCGATGTACCTGGGAAAACTTTGGCAGTTTCTTTCGTATAAGGATCCCTTTACTGGCGGTTCAAACCGAGGTAATGGAGCGAATTGTTGCGATTGCATCAGCCAGATATTATCGGGAAGAACGTCGCACAGGGTCAAACCTAGACAACTTCTCTAATGCTAGCGCCGAAGCTAGTTTGGCTCCTCTTTGGAGGACACTCGATCGCCTGCACACGCAATGCGCAAGCCAAAATGTTGCCTTTCGGGGTGCTCTTGTGCGTCTTGCAGAGAAATTGAAGCGTTTGTACAGGGCTTACATTGCAGCTCGAGCTCTTTCCTACCTGAATGGGATGCGTTCTTCACCAAAGCATGCCATTACTGAAAAAGATGGTGGACCAAAAGCTTTCTCAGCAACCGATGCTTTAGTACGAGCCTACCGAATTACCGTGCTTCGGGTGATCAATGCTTCAGCTGGGTACAGCAAGCAGTTTCTTGGTTTTCATGGCACCTCACTTTCCAACAGCTCCGTTGCCCATTACGAAGCTGTCGAAGATGCATTTCTGGAAGCCGCGGCTGTATTCTCTCCGACGGAGCTGCCAGAGCACCGCGTGGCTTGGCTACAAATGCTAGTTGATTTTCATAAATCACGAAAAAGGCTTGCTGAGGAGGGAACCTGCCATTTTCGGATCTACGCCACACTTAAGCAAGCCTCGTCGCTGCATGGATCTCTGTGGTCGAATACCCCCTTCCTTCCCTGGACGCATAACCAACCTGACTCGGTTCACATCGACGGTGAAGCGCCGACGGGGAACCCCTTGGACTACGGTTCGGACTTGGACTTGGACGAGCTCGGAGAAACACCTTATGGAAAGCAGTTGGATGATGCGAACTCCAGTCGACGGATCTTCTATCGAGTTGCCAACTCTGTAAGAGCCAACACCGAAGACTGGGAAACCGGGCTGAGCAAGACTCTGTTTAGTGGAGTAACCTTCGCTGCGGAATACTGTTCTGTTAGTTCATGGATCACTCTCAAAGAAATGGAGGAGAAGATGGTGGAACATGCTGTTTGCGCTGGTGACCTGTTTCTTCAGGCTGGAATAATCGAGAGCTGTCGTTATTCTTGGAATCTTGCAACCCAATACTACGCAGAGAAGTTCAGCTATGGGAAACTGGCAAACGTGTATGGCTGCCTGGCAAGAGCCGTGGTGTCAAGAGTTCCTCCTATTGATGCAAGCACTCAGCAAGAGGTTTCCATCTCGCTCGGTCGCTTCTACAGAGTGTGGTTCCATGGCGGTGCTCCTGACGAGCTTATCGGCGCTGAATTTGTCTACCGGACTGCAAGTTGGATCCGGCTTGATCAATTTGGCGACCAGCTCCGGGAAGTGATCAAGTGCATCATCCCTGACAGAACTCCAATCCATCTCGTTCTCGATGGACGGGTGGATGAAGGGTCACAACGGGGCTACACTGGTTTCAGTCGTCTTGGACCTGCACCGCTCGAGCCCGTTCGCATCAAGGTGACTCCTCTGCGGCCCCTCTATGCCAAGGGAAGCAAGGTAAGAGGACTGCCAGAGTGGTTTCACCGTTACATCGATGAAATGGCATCTCGTGCCACAACCAACCAGTCAAGCAAGAGGCACCGAGGCGGACTACGATCTGGCGTCAACGAAGAAATGGGGCGTGTGGCTTCACCAGGGCATCGTGGCAACAACCTTTCCTTTGGATCATCGGCATCGGTGTTTGCCAGCTCCGGAAGTTCTGCCTCGGGGTCAATGTTTTCTTCGAGGCGGTCTAGTTTGTCCAGAGCGGCAGACGGAAGCAGGGTACAGAACTCTGCCACCCCAACTTCGGCAGAAACAGAATTAGTGGGAGTTGACAAGTTTGGCTTTTTGCAGCCTGCCCACATTAAGGATCGAAATAGAGCAAACAAAGATTGGTGGAAACCACCGTCTGGTGACTTTGCTCGGAAGAGTCTGAGAGTCACTCAGCTGCAGGTGGGACAGGCGTTTCCTGCTTGTGTTACTCGTCAAGCTGTGGTCCACCGAGTGGTTTTCAACTTGAGTCCATTGGAAGCGGCATCTGACGGAGTTTGCCAGTGGTGTTCAGTGCTGTTTCGAACAGCAGTTGCTACGAATGGGATGGCTGTTCTGGGTACGTAAATAGTGGTCGCAGGACACATCACAAATTGAATCGAATAATCCGCGTGTCTTATTTGTTGCTTTCTTCCACCAAAAGGTATCAATGGCGACCCTGGAATTGGGACGGACGCAGCGAAGGTTGTAACTGATTGCATTCACTCTAGCAGAGTCAAAGAGATGGGAATGTTCCTCTTGAAGAAGAATGTGGCAGAGGAAGACAGTTCTGACTTCTTCCAGAACTCAGACCGTTTGACTGACGAGGAAGTCAAGAGACACCAAAGCAAACTATCCCGGACAATAGTGGTGTTTCTAGAACTTCTCCATTTGCTGATTGCCCGAAATCGAGACCTCCTGCTGAATTTGATTCAGGAGAGACGAAAAGAGCCCATTCCCCCTCCACCACCCACGCACGCACCTGTGAGAAGCCAAACTGCCCACGCTGCGACCTCTGGGTTTTCAGGATCAGTCAATCCGCGAAACCTGGTGCGGTTGGGCAGCCAAGATGGCTCAGAGCCGCGGACTGGTTTTAGCCGTTCGGTGACTGTCGAGGCCATGCGTGGTAATGTCCGTCACGATGATCGAAGCACAGTTGAAGACCAGCCCTATGCTGGTAGTGCTTCGCTCGCTGGGGCTACTGCGAACGTTCGAAGTGATGCTGCCATTGCTGTTCAGAGTGAACTGCAGCGGTCCTACATCTCAATGGTCAAATCGCTGTACCCAGGACTATCTGGTATTATGCAGACTGACACCCCTGGTTGGCTGCGAAAGTGTTGCCAGGAAAACTACTTTTCTCTTGGTGCCTATAGGCAGGCCCGAATCCGTAAGTACTGTTTGTGTACTGTTGAAACCCCTTTGTCATCAGCCCATTGCATGCACTGACAACTTTGAGTTGATTCGTTTCGTTTCGTTCGCTGCGACATAAAGCCATAAGCGAGGAACTCTACTTCACCCCAGTCAATGATAGCTACCATCAAGCCCCTGGCGGTGAAAAGTTGGATCAAAATGGAGGTCGTTCCGGCTTGAGTAGTGACTATCTACATGATCGAGCAGGCACCGAATCTCCTTCAGGTACTAGCGTGGCGAGTAGTTCTGTCTTCTCTGGAGCTTCAGGACACATGCGATATGGGAGCAAACAAGCCGAGGCAAAGCTCAACGAGTTCTAGAGCCAGAGCGGGCAGTCGTTGCTGGCCATTTTGTGAACCCTGGAGATTGAGTTTGGATATAAAACAAAAATCTTGCTAGCTAGCTTGCGGCGGCTGTAGTGCCTTCGTACACAATGTAGATTGCACTGGAGCGTTGCTCAAATCGTGCACGACCACGATTTCTAAAGGGTGGGATTTCGAATCGGATTTAGAGTATGGTTTGAAACTCTACCCTATAGAGTAGAGTTTGAAAACTCTACCCCCTAAGTCTTGGGTAGAGTTTGAAACTCTACCCTAAACTCTACTAGTACCCTACAAGACCGTCGGACGGTTTCCACTCAGGCTTAATAAACCAGCCACGACTGACTCATAATCCTGGTTCTCGTTAAGGGGATGTTAAGAGGATGTGAAGCTTTAAGGGGTTGTTTATGGGGATCTTGAATATGTAAGGTAGTATTGTTAAGGGGATGTTTATTTAAGGGAATGTTCATTCGTGATAAGGGGTTGTTTTATGGGGTTTTAATGAAGGCTTAAGGGGTTGTTTCGAGGACATAAAGGGATGTTGTTAAGGGGTTGTTTATTTAAGGGGTTGTTTAAGGGAATGTTGAAGCTTTAAGAGGTTGTTTAAGGCGTACTTTAGAGGATGTTGTCAGTGGTGGCAATTTGAAGATTCTTAAATCCTGAGTGAAAGAGTCGGACGGTCCAGAGTTTCAAACTCTACTCTAATTATTAGGGTAGAGTTTCAAACTCTAGCCTAAATCGAAACGGGACTGCATAGAAGATAGTAGTCTTTCTACGTAAGCCGTTTCGGATTTAGGGTAGAGTTTGAAACTCTACCCTCTAGGGTAGAGGGTAGAGTTTAGGGTAGAGTTTGAAACTCTACCCTAATTTCCTAATTTATTAGGGTAGAGTTATAAATTAGGGTAGAGTTTGAAACTCTACCCTATAGGGCAGAGTTTTCAAACTCTACTCAAGGCTTAGGGTAGAGTTTCAAGCTCCACCCTAAATCGAAACTCGACCCTAAATCCGAGATTCCCCTTTGAGGTTCGCTAACCAGTAATTTTGGTTATTGGTTTTGGTTACTGGTTGATTGGTTAATAACCAGTCGGATCAACCAAAACCACTAACCAGTCAATACCACTGGTTATTGGTTGATCAACTGATAACCAGTAACCAGTACGTTTTCGACTGGTTGATTTGACTGGTTACTGGTTGATTTGACTGGTTATTGGTTGAATCGACTGGTTGATTTCGAACTTCGAACTTGCCGTTTCCTCTCATAAATTCGCCAACCAATACTTGAAAAGGGGAACCTCTAGCCTCCGTTTTAACCATTTGCACTACGCTAAAAGCTAGTGTAAAGATCTTTCGAGTGTTTTGAGTTTGAGAGAATGAAAGTTATGAGAGACGCTGTGGAAGGGTCTGTCAGCCTGGATTCATAGGCAGACGTGGAAGTACTCCACGCTAGCTAAAAATCTAGAGCGATGTTTCTATCATTTCAATCTGTATGACTAGCGGTCATGGGAACCCTGTCTCAAATGACTATGTACGAGAGACTCAGTCATGAGTCGAACTCAAAACCCTATCTAGGATCGCACCACAGAGTTCGCGATAAGGCTAGGCCGTGTATTGCAAAGTGAAAATGGGAAGCCGAACACACCAAGGCCTTTAGCCAGATGAAGAAGATCCTCAGAAAAGAAACCTTGATCGCCTACCCTGACTTCAACGATACATTCGTATCCACACGGATGCGAGCTATACTCAACTAGGTGCGGTAATTTCCAGAAGGGAAAACCACATCATCGCTGCCTTTATTAACCTGCATCGCAGAAGGCGAGTTCGGCACAGGCTCTCACAACCTCCCTGGCTCAAGACACGTGGGGGTACACAGTACCGAGAAGTAACTTTCAGTATCGTAGAAACTCTGAAGGAGTTCGTACATTCTTCTAAGGAACGCTAGAAGAGCATACGCGAAGTCTGATCAGCATACGGACCACAAGAAGTTACATGCAAAGAATTCAAACCGATAGCGTAATGTAGACGATGGCGCCTTTTCGGGATATACGGCCCTACCGTAACTACGTGACATCAAGGGAAGACTAACATCGTCGCTGATGCTGTGTCGAGACTTAACATCTCCAACAAGACGGTTCTTCAGAACAGATGGTACCCCAGCGAAATCGCTTGCTCAATGGCTGGCAGACGAAGAGACTCACCTAGCGAAGTTCCCTCTCCCGTTCCCCGAAGGAGTCTACAACATCGTCAGAAAGACGAACACGATATCAAGAAGCTCCTCAGGGACAAACCAAACGACTACAAGAAAACAATCTTTCCCCAGAGGGGATAAGTCCTACGACTTAGTAGTTAAGGACGAGAAAATCGTCGTACCTAAACTATGCAAAAAGCTAGTTGAATGGACATGGTGTGCTGATGCATCTGGCGAGACTCGCACGGAACTAACCATACGCCAACACTACACCTGGAAGGTCTGCGCAAGACTGTGCAAGCCGTTTGTCAGCGTTGCCAAGCTGCAAGATGAACAAACCAAGACCGTAAGCTGGGATTGATGCCTCCAAAGACTTGCGAGGAGATCCCTGTGGAAAGACTATGTATTGACCTGATAGTCCTTACAACGTCGGGGACCTAAGAAAAAGAATTCCTGCACACTTCATTGCTTGACAATGATTGATCCGTAACCGGATGGGTTCGAGATTGCAGAGATCTGCTCCAAGGGCAGCAGACGAAGTAGCCATCGTCTAGAACAAACGTGCTTACCGGTATCCATGCCTGTGAGGTTATCATGGATAGAAACGTGAGTTCCGCGCAGAGTCGAAAAGACTTCCGGGATGAATAGACTTCGTCGCAAGTTCATCACTACGAGCTAACCCTCAAGCCAATCTTAGGTCGAGCGTGCTCATCAAACCATAGACTTGATCGCTGTTAAAAACATCAAGTGCAAGAGACCTCGTGAATGGATCCTGGGATGGAGTCCTCACGCGGGTTCGCTTTGCAATGAATGCCACGAATTCATACCACCTTGCGTGCAACGCCGCACAGCTCGTGTTCAATCGTGAACGCGATTCACAACGTCCGGTTTGAAGCAACTGGAAGTAACTTAAGGAACGTCGCCACGACTATCCAACAAAAACAACGATAGGGAAAACGCAACGCGTTCCTCATCAATACAATGTCAACATACGTGATGATTCAACAGTAACAGCACCGCAAGTAAGGTCAGCCAAAGTAAAAAGTCCTTACACTATAGACCATCAATGACAATGGCACTGTACGGCTCCGAATGCTACCGCCAACGGCGGCACAGTCTACCAGACTTGGAACATAAGGTATTTACACCCATACAAGGCTGATCCCCTTGTAGGATTGCCATCGTGCGACGCACATGTCTACATCCAAATCTCATGAGAGTGCCCCGCACTTTAATCATATGTTCTCCTTGTCCGACTGATGTCGCGCCTCTGTGACCCTTGTCAGGGGCGAATGCAATACACCGCCTTAGCCTTATTCGCGACTCATCCTAGATAGGGTTGAGTTCGACTCATGACTGGATCTCTCGTGAATAGTCATCTGAGACAGGGTTTCAATTACCGCTCTAGTCATACCAGGTTGAGATGAAACATCGCTCTTGATATTTAGCAGCGTGGGGTACTTCCAGCTACTAGATCCAGGCTAGACAACCTTCCACGCGTTCCGTTTTAGGATCGTGGAGAGACGTAGCTTACTACCACAACCTACTCTATCACACTTTATAGTCTCCCGGGGAAGCCAGATCTACGATCCCTTGATGGATGATCTCTCTCGTTGATTAGTTTTCATAGCTTTCTAATCT